CATACACACGGCAAGGACGCCAGAGAGCACACATTTGCACTATGAAGAGGCATTGTTGTTTCAAGAAGGGGTGTCTTTTGGCAAGTAGCCAAGCTGGGTGTGGCTCTATCAAAGGGTGTAATGTCCTGAAGTGTCTGAGATCTGGATCTGATGCCATTCGTTGGTTCCAGGAGGACTTCTCGTATTCCATGACAGTTTTTTACGATGTTCTTCCAGGAGACTTGACTCATGGAGACACTGGAGGAGACGAAGTTATCAAGAAACTGCATCAGTTTGTATTTTTTCACGTACATGCACTATATCTGGTATAAATCCTGTTCTTGTCTTCAATATGCAGTTTCTACGGAAGCGTAGTAGGGCCACGGTGAAAAACTTTTTGGTCTTACTCCAAATATCTCCTACGTAGGAGTTAGTATCTCCTAAGTTGGTATCTCCTACGTAGGACCTAGTATCTCCTACGTAGTACTTAATATTTCCTGTAGGAGATGATCGATAAACGTTTATATAGATTAATCTGAAACGCACACGCACACAATCTCCTGTTTCACTGTTTCAGTCACTGTAAGAGTCTACAGTCATTCGTTTCATTCACTATTATAGTCTACAGTTATGTGTTTCATTTACTGTTAAAGTCTACTATCATGTGTTTCAATTTACTGTTAGTGTCTACTGTTTCCTTCACTATTAGAGTCATGTGTTCAACTAATTGTTGCACATAAGTACTGTGTTGGACCGACTGTTATACTTTACTGCCTTGCGTTCAGTTTGCTCTACTATTACGCGTTGCAGTTAGTTCACTGTTATATGTTGCACTTTGTTACACTTTACTATTATGCATTGGATATTTCAAAGGTCGTTGCAAATGAATCATAATCTGCGTGTACAGACGTGTCTTAGACTATAGGTGGCAATCTATGTGTACGTATCCCCTTATATTTATACAAATAACTATAATGACAATTCTTTGCCTTTTTGAATTTCGTATTGTTTTACGCCGCACTCAACACTTGTCCATCCCAGTCAAGTCAACCTGTAAACGAATAAAACCGCAAACGAGCGTTGCATCCGATCCAACCTAGCCCCATCAAGACAAGCAACAACTTGCGGAGGTCGTGTTATAACCCGAGTTTCATATCACAACCTCACCCCAACCATCCCACCCACCTCTGTGTGTGTGTGTTTGTGTGTATGTGTGTTTGTGTGTGTGAATAGACGTATGTATGATAGATTAAACATTACCATACCCAAACCTGCATAACTGCAATTAGAACAGGGTCCACGTCACCCTAACGTAATACACACACAATAACACTGTACAGTAACACTGCGTTAGTGCCATGAATATTCACTGACTCACATTTCGACTATCTAACGCATAGCCAAACATTTCTCAACTTAATAACCATCCTTAAAAAGGATATATTAAGTCCTACGTAGGAGATATTAAGTCCTACGTAGGAGATACTAAGCCCTTTCAACAGATATTAATATCACCCTTTTTCAACCCTGACCACAATTCGAACCCAAACAAGGCCTTGAGCACACACACTGACTGTTTGGAGCTGGTAATTGGATTCAACCCACTGTTGTGTAAGCCTGATTTCATCAACATCATTGCAGCTGACTTCATCTTCGAACTTACGTTTGATGTTTGAGTACGACTGCTGAGGTGTGAGTCGAGAAGAATGCCGAGATGCTTTGTGTTGTCCACATCAGGTAACTTCCTTAAGTAAAGTTTGATATTGCACTTGGTGTTTCTTGCAGGATTGAAGACCAAGACGTTACTTTTTGAGGGAGAGAATGTGAACTGTCTTTTGGCACTAGTTCTGACACTCTCTTACCATGGACTGTAGATCAGCTGTGATAGGACTGATCAGTGAGATATCATCTGCCTGAGTTGGAGCGGCAAGATGTGATAGGTTTGTCAGAAGCTCGTTGATATAGACCAAGTAGAGCTTGGCAGAAAGGACGCTACCTTGTCTCACTCCACGGTCGAGTTTAAACTAGGATGAGTAGGAATTATTGGCTAAAACACAGCTTTTCATTTCAGAGTATGTGATGCAGAAAATGCGCCACACGCGTGGATGAATGTTCATCTCCTTCAGCTTCCAGAGTAGACCATCATGCCACGCAGTGTCGAATGCTTTACTGCTGTCCAAGAACACCACTTTCAGTGAGTCATTCCTTTCCTTGTGGTGGTAGACTGTCTCCTGAAGGAGGAATGATGCATGAAGAGACGAGAGGCCTTTCTGGAAGCCGCATTGCTGAGGATCAGGGAAGTCTGTGGAGTCTTGAAATTGTGGGATCCGTTTTGCTATGACCTGTTCGAAGAGTTTTGAAATAACAGGCACCAGAGTCAGTCCTTTGTATGAATCTGGGGACGCCTTTGGTTTGCCTCCGCCTTTGAAGATTGGGATGAGGATACCTTTCTTCCACTGGTATGAGATAAAACCTGTGGTGATTATTCTGTTGAATAGTTTAGGAAGATAATATTGATGGGTTGAACCTCCGTGTTTCAAGTGTTCATGGTAGATTCCATCAAACCACAGGCCTTGTTGTTTGTCAGAGATTTGCAAAGATTGCTTACCTCAGACTGAGAGGTCAGAAGGCTCTTGACGTCGATTAACTTGTTGGAGGTACAATGTTTTAGTTCAGCAACTCTGCCTTCTAGATAGTCCTTAAAGTTCTGGTCAAAGTGGTCATCAACCCTTTGCTGAATATAGTCTTCATGGGGTCAGCGCGTGCTCGGCAGATTTCCAAGGCATCTGTGGTATGGTTCCCTGATACACTTACGGTCGAAATGTGCGATTTCTTGTCTCTGTTGTTGAGGAGAGCCCAGCATGTTTTCTGGTCGATGTCATATAGTTTATCAAATTTGTTGAAGTGCTCTGTTTCATAAAGTGCACCACCTTCTTTCATAGCAGCTCGAAAATTATCTTTGGATTTCTTGTAGTCACGGAAGCTAGTGTAAGTCATGCCTCTAGGTCTACCATCTAGAATCCATTGCTGTTTGTAAGATATCATCAGGTCGTGGCAGTCTTTCACCTGTTCCTTCCAGTATGGTCTTAGATATCGTCTGAAATGTCTCACTGGAACACAGTCCGACGCAGCCATAGTGCGGGTCGTAGTAATTATATCAGTAAGGTGTTAAATATCCACACTGTCACAGCATAGAGCTGGCAGCTATCCTTGATAGAGCCGTTCTGGAAGGCTAGGTTCCAAGCTGGTCTACGTATGGGAGGATCTGCACCTGGTTGACTAGGTTGGTCAATTGTAAGAAGGCATACAACTGGTGATGGTGGGAGACGTTCTGTGGATTATCATCTTTCACTTCTACTTCTGAATTATTTGCGAAAACATTCCTGAAATGAATGAGCCACTCGGGTTTGGAAATTGAATTTGTTGAGAGCATTTAGTTTTGATATGTCGAATTTCTTTCCAGAATTTAGACTGACAATGCATAGAATTACTTAGCCTGTTTTCCAAGAATGACAGATTGTGAACACCAAGTTGGTGATCGGAGAAGGCACATATATAGATATGGTTTTGAGAGAGTAGCGTAACATACACTTGCAATTACACCTTGACAGTTCCATGACATAAGTGAAATGATTGGGAGAGACATATCTAAGAAGGGTTGTCATGGGGAACATCGTTCATTCGCTGTCTTTCCTCTATTTGTTGCTAAAACTTTCTCCTGCTCAGCCACGGCTTGACAGGAATGCACGTCGTCATATGAGCGAAATATTCTCAAGCACGATGTTAAACCCAATTTCACCTCACCTCACCTCACAAGAATGTTTTCTGGACAGAAATCAACGTTTTCAACAAGTAGCCTATCTTGAGCGTGTATATTTATCTGTGCTGCGGCATAGCGTTTCTCGGGTTTTTAATGAAGACTTTAAGGTGCGTCACCGTAACTCCCCTTTCCACCATATAAGTTTTTATCGATTTGAGCAGGACTTCTGGATTCTGCCAATGTACTAGCGTCTGGTTCGTGAGCGAATAGGACCTGCACAAAACCCATCAGCATCAATGTTGATGTTTACATAGAGTGAAGGACCATAGATGGAAGCCAGTAACGGATATACAGTGATAGAGATTAGGTGATTGGGATGTACAATGTACAGTGTTACTGGCTTCCATCTATGGTCCTTCACTCTATGTAAACATGTTGTACAAACAGTATGTATCTAACTTAATCCCCTCACCAGTCTGTTGTAATAACAACTCTGTGGCTTCTTGTACATACTATATATACCTCAGTAACTATTCACTGTCATTCATCCGATGAAGGGTCAAGTATTAGCCCAGAAACTTCGTGTGTAAATGATACAGAAGTTGCACATCCATATCAAGTGTATTGTATTATCAACACAACCTCTAAATTTGCAGATTCTTCACGTGCGGCCACAAGCTCTGATGTAAGCCTATAGTTAGACTCCTTGAGGTGTTTAGACCCGGGTGTCAAATCTATCAATTTTCAACAACGATTTCCTTGATGTAGATTAGGGTTACATAACAATATGATAGCAATATCACGGCAGGGGATCCCGAAATGAGATTCACTCTTTGTACCCATGCTGAAATCGAACCCGAGCCCTCGACGCGACGAGCAAACACTTTAACCACTAGGCTATCCCACCGCGTCGGCGAAATATTTCAGTTACATTATTGGATAGGGCTAACCTTTACGCATGTCTAAATACGTATGTACACAGGAATACAAAACTCTCACGTCGGTCTACTTGTTACCATAACAGGGGCGGTGGGGTAGCGTAGTGGTTAAAGCGTTCACTCGCCACGCCGAAGACCCGAGATCGATTCCCCATATGGGGACAATGTGTGAAACCCATTTCTGGTGTCCCTCGCTGTGATATTGCTGGATATTGCTTAAAGCGGCGTAAAACCATACTCACTCATTCAAGATTCAAGATGCAAACATCAAACTGATTTTATGATGGTCTGACTTTCCCTACAAACGACAAAGAAGCTAGAGGGCGTACTACTACTACATTTATTGATGGCACAGAGATCGGGAGAACAGACACACTATAACGACTGGGTCTTCACAAGGTTGTGATGTTGCTGTCGCTGCTGCTGTTGCTGCTGTTGCTGTTGCTGTTGCTGTTGCTGTTGCTGTTACTGTTACTGTACTAGTTTTCTTATAAGCAATGCCGATTAGCGCTTTCCCGGGCCACCCCCATTGTTGCAACAATTGTCCAGATCACCTACAATATTAATATACAGTTTAATAAATATAATTTTTGATACATTTTACGAAGTGGGACGGGGGATATTAAAACATCTTTCCTTACGACGTCCGTCCGCTTTTCAGTGGGGACACATTTTCTCAAAAGCTGTTTCAGTTGGAGAACTGATGTAACTGGTCATGATTTAAGCTAAAGTTTTACAGAGTTACGGCCCTTGGTCCAAGAGTTCGAAAAGTGTTGCCATAAATAGTTTCCAGAGTTACACCAATTGTTACATGTTTAATTATTATCTTGAATATACACTGTGCTTGGCATCGTGTGTGAATGAAGACAGGTTGTCTCAAATGTATAAGAAGTTACTCAAAACTGAGTTCGAAATTTAGTATTATAAATTAGTTTCTCTAGGAGCCGTTTGCAATTATTTCCCATTATTTGTTCTGTGTTAACGCAATGGGATCTTTATTCTCATGGCGCTTGTCTCTTCTGAAGGGTTTATGTATGGCTTTCTCATAGTTAACATTTTTTGCCATATTGGCCATTGTTTATATGAATATTGAATTTAATAGGGCCTGTGATAACGGGGACAGATGAAGAACCTTTCCTGGTTTTGTTGAAATTGAAGAATTTAAAAATATGGTTTAGGGATTTACTCCGACGTATTCGCCAGGTTTCTGCATTTGGATGGCAGGAAAACCCAGAATTTGACCATATTATATATATTATATATGTCTTTCAGTGGCATTTAGAAGTTGTACATTGATGTCCAAGATATTTTTATGGATTAAACTTCTTTGTAATTTCTCTCTCGACGTTTCGAGACCATTCCAGGTCTTCACCTGATGAAGGGACCTGGAATGGTCTCGAAACGTCGTGAGAGAAATTACAAAGAAGTTTAATCCATAAAAATATATTATATATGTTACAACAGATCTTACCAGTGGTATTCGATACTTCAGATGTATTGTGCACACAACGTTTCCCCATCTGTCGGAAATTGATTGACGGTAGAAAGTAGGGTGATGAAGCGAAAGAGCAGGGGAAGTACAGATACATATATACTCAACACAATTATAAACTTGACATCCATATTATTGGTCATAATTGTGAAAGAGGGTATTCTTTGTAGAGTCTTGTTGTACCATACAGATGGCAGTGGCATGTGAGCAGTTTCAACATGGCCTTCGCGACAGACGTCGAAACAAGTGTGAACCATAACACGGCGAGGCAAATGATCGCCCTAGAAATAGCACGTGCATTGGAGTGTAAATACACCGACAAAAAGCACAAATGAACAACGTGAGCGTACTATGGGTAGGTTGAACGCACGATCCCTGGGCTGCAGTTGTGAGACCCTTGTGCAGTAGATAGGCGTCATTGAAGACCGCACAAGTCGTGTGCCGCCGCCTCTGACGTCACACCAAGATTACCCTTTTTATATATTTTTATTTACTTATTTCTTATCTTTATTTATTTAAAAAAAAAATTTCATACCTATTTATTAAAATAAATATAATATATATATATATATATATATATATATATATATATATATATCATGCTACCATGGTTACCATGCAACTGTCAGTGAACATATTTAAACTATGAAGAATGAAGACACAAATTAAGACTGTCCAGTGTATACTAACTCATATTGTTGTACTTAAATGGAACCTTTTTTTGAGCATTACTTTCTTTTAAAAGTCGTGTTTAATATAGTTGTAAGGAATCTCAGTTTCTGTGGGTATTAATGCATCTGTTCTTAGATTACACAATGCTGAGTTGGGATAAATTGTATGTAATTGACGAAGTGGATACAGGTTGTCATGTACTGATTTTTGTTCATTAAGCACCATGTTATTTCATCCACTGAATGCTAGATGAGCATACCAAGTGTTATTTACTATGTGTTGCTTGGTAGATGTTTTTGCTGCAGGTTGATCTTGCTATAAGACCTTATACCACATTGTGTACAAAGGGCAGAGGCTCCTATCACACTCAACAGGACATAGGAAGATTGCCTAAACAAGGCCTCCTCAGTAATGGTGACATTTTGCAAATATGATACCTGGTAAACATTATCAATTTTACCATGCTACAGGGCATTTGACTATCCTTGAAGGTCCTTCTTTGCACAGTGTGTTCATTGAGGTGATCCTGGGTATCTCGAACCCATCACAGCTTGTGTACCAAGATATCTCATACTTTTGTACAGTTTTTGAGTTCATGTTTTCAACAGCAAATAAAAAAAATAATAAAAAAAATATTACCCACAACATCTGTGAGAGTAACATCCACTTGCAGAAGTTGTTCACGGTGTCATCATAGACCGAGATCCGAGCTAGATGACCATACACAGGCCCTGACGCTTTCACGTCGTGCTCAACGTTTACGATTTGTCCGAAGACATGCCAGATTCAAGCGCAGGTAGTGGAACAGGATTGTCTTCAGTAATGAGCCGCGATTCACACTGTTCTTTGTGGATGGCATCGTACGGATGTGGCGCAGGAGTGTGGAACGTCACGCGCAGTGATGAAAGTCAAATTTACCAATTTGGAGGGGCCAGCGTAAGGTATGGTGGGCATTGTGTGCTAATTTATAACAGTCGAACTCAATGGATTATCGTTCAGGAGAATCTTACTGCCACACAGTAAAGATTGACCCCGCTTTATGGTCATGGTCTGACATTTCAACGCTATGACCTATACATCTTACGTAAAGCTGGTCTTGATGTCATGAACTAGCCTTCCCATTCCCAGACACTTTGAATGGTTGGTTTGTTGTTTAACGCCGCACACAGCAATAATCCTACTATATGGCGGCGGTCTGTAAATAATCGAGTGTGGACCAGATAATCCAGTGATGACGTCACGCAAGGATACGATGACGTCAGCAAGCTTGACCTCTTACGACAAGTATGGGCTACTGAATACCCAGTCTAACCCGTATCTTCACGGGTCTCAACTTGGATATGAGCTGAGGAGGATTAGCGCGACAGCAGATAAATCGACCCCAGACCTTGACTTCCGGATAGAGTCCTCGGACAGGTTCTCCTCCTCATCACTAGACGTTGTGTGGTGGCGTCACGACCACCATAGCAGGTCACACTCGTTAATGACTTCTTCTGTTCCACCAGTTTTATCAGTTAGGTGTTAGGGAACGCCATGTATTAATTCTAATACAATAAATCCGCCGGCCAATTTTCCTCATCTCTATTGTTACCTTGCAGTAGAATACATCTATATCCATCACACTACACATTACTTCCATTGTGGGATTCAATCTAACAACCTGAAGTGTCAAGGGTTTAATGTGGTTACATACGCATGCATTTCTTAATGATATATAATTGATATATACTCAACAAAAAAACTTAAGGACCAACCAAATTTTTCAATATCAAAGTATTTGATGGTTCGTATTATTATCCATATAATACTTAGATATTGAATACTGGGGTGGTACATAATGCTTTGGGTTGAGTATATATTACATCATTATTAAATGATTATTGGCGGTGGGGTAGCCTAATGGTTAAAGCGTTGGCTCGTCACGCTGAAGACCTGAGTTCGAATCCCAACATGGGCACAATGTGTGAAGCCAATTTCTGGTGTCCCCCGCCGTGATGTTGCTGGTATATTGCTAAAAGCGGCGTAAAACCAAACTCAGTCAGTCAGTATTAAATGATGACGTCAACTTTCATTTTGACCCTTTGGTCAACATTTACCATCATCACATTAGGATATATTCCTTGACTAATGTGCTTTTCCAGTATAGTTAGCGGGAAGTGTCACTGTGTACATAAATAATTTATAAAATATTTGATATTTTGTTATTATTGTCGGATATTAAACTCAATCTGGTTATTTCCTTCACACACGCCATTAACACACTGCTGTCCTTCATCACAAGCCGGTGAACATCCCTCTTCAAAAGAAAAGGACACAGTTACAGTTCTAAAACAACAGAAGTAGGTATATTTTTAACACTTTGTTTTAGCAATATTACTAAACATTAGGAGTATTTGTACTTTCAGTATTTACAGGTGTAGAAATGGCAGTTCTTACAATGGTAGCAAGATAATTGGCAGCAGTGGTAATATTTATTCTTACCTCCTTCACACACGCCATTAACACACTGCTGTCCTTCATCACAAGCCGGTGAACATCCCGCTTCAAAAGAAAATGACACAGATACAGTTCTAAAACAACAGAAGTAGGTGCATTTTTAACACTTTGTTTTAGCAATATTACTAAACATTAGGAGTATTTGTACTTGCAGTATTTACAGGTGGTAATACTTATTCCTACCTCCTTCACACACGCCATTGACACACTGTAATACTTAGAGTATTAGTAGTATAGATGATAGTAGTAGAAGACGTAGTAATAATAGTGATAGCAGTAGTTATAGTAGTAACCTGTAGTAGTAGTTGCACCAGCAGCATTATTAGTAACACATGATTATTAACAATAGCAGTATAGGGCCCTTAAGTAGGTGACGGCACTTCGCGAGACCATAGTACTTCCGGTGACAAACAACGTTTCATATCGAACCAATAATCCTTGCAGGTATAACACATTTCCGATCTAACCATCCCCCAAATAGCCAACTATTACGACTGTCAACAGCTGTGACAGCCAAGCATGGTTGTACACTTGGTCCGGTCTAGTGAAGTCATATTTGGCGGTCGCGCAATTTGGAACCAGAACTGGTTCTTGAATACACGTTTGTCACCGGAAATTTAATACCGGAAGTAGGTTGGGCCACGTCTAGTATATCGCAAGTTGGAGCGCGCAAAGGGAACTGGGAACCAGCCTAGTACCGGAAGTATCGCCTCGCGAGACTTACAGGCCCTATTAGTAAAAACAGTTCTACCAGCAGTTATTGTAGTAGACGCTGAAGTAGTAGTAGTAACAGTTGTAGCAGTAGTAGTAGTAGTAGTAGTACGTATAGTGATCGTGGTGGTAATATAAGTATTAGTATTAATTGTAGTGAGTAGTATTGGTGATTTTAGTAGTGATAGCAGCAGCAGTAGTGGTAATAGTACAAACAGTGGTGGTCGTAGTCGTTGTCTTTGTCGTAGAAGTTCATCATACTTACAACTTTGAGCCAAAGACAACCCCACTGACGTCATGAGCACCAGCAGCAGCATCACCACCAAGATATCCTTCATCGTCAGTCGGTTTCTGTGAAAGATACCCGTTGTTCTAAACAAAGTACCCGTGTAAGACAAGTTAGAAATTATATTTATAATTGTATATATGTGGTGAGTGATTGGCTTAGTGACTTGATGCATGATGTGTTGGGTGATGTGTTTGGGAATGTACTGTGTGATGTGAAGGATGATATATACACCTCGTCAAAAAATATCGCACCACCCATTTGAAAGTCAGAGTAGAAATATAGTTTTCGTTTTTTTTTACACTACACGTACATATGTAATATACGACACCATCTGTGAACATGATATCACAAACACACCCTGTTCCGAGCTGCATGTGCACGCATGCATGTTCCGGTGGTCGGTTTGCTATAAATGCAGTATGCACATAGCCCAGCACAACTGAACAGCACAACTGAACATTAATCACACTGTCATCAGCAGGCTGATACGTAAGCATACTGCTACCTGTGAAGTGAAGGATGCACCGAGGTCTGGATGTTCCAGAAAACCCAATGACAGGGAAGATCGTGCTCTCGTACGCCATGCCAGACGAAACCCAATGTCTACTTGTACACAGCTGCGACATGGATGGCATCCATACAACAGAGTGCCCATTAGAACCATCAGACGACGCCTAAATTCTGCGGGATTGAGAGCAAGACGTCCAATCAGACGTCCACTCCTCACAAATCAGCACCGTAAAGTAGACCTCATCACAGTTCCCGGGACACTGAATGGACAGAGGTACCAGAACCTGATCCTGGACGGTGTTGTTGTGTCTCATTTCGATAACCATGCTCTCGTCACACGTCCAGTCTTCATCGACAATAATGCCAGACCACATCGTGCTCGAGCTGTTGTTCGGCATGTCCAACCCACCACCATTGAGACACTACCATGGTCAGCAAGAAGTACAGACATGAATCCTATTGAACACTTGTGGGACATTTTGAGACGTAAGGTGAGAGTAGTTCAGACCCTTCAGGAATTGACCCATGCATTGCATGATGAGTGGCAGCAGATCCACCAGCAGAGAATCAGACGTCTGGTGACCAGCGTGAGACGGCGTGTAGAAAATAATATCCAAATGCGAGGCGGTTACACCAGATACTGAGTTAGCCTGTCGTTGTGGACCTTACTAGTGTGTTCAACATTAATGAAATGTGAACTGTGTTGTGTGTCTGATGTAACGACCCCGGCAGCCATACTTATTTCACCTTATTTTATGGTGATTTTAGTGGACTTTAGTTTGCCACAATTAAACCTTCAATTAGTGCTCAAATTCGGTCTTGTGTTGTCAATTTTCTGACTGAACGCACCCACGAGGCCATCTAAACAGTTTAATGTGCTTTTCTAAACACCATTTTCATGAGGTTGTAGATCCAGTTTTGGTTAGTGAAAAAAGTGGGAGGTGGGATACTTATGACGAAGTGCATAATTTGGTGCTGTTAGATGGGTTGCATGATGTTTTGGGTAATGGTTTGGGTCATGTGTTGGTTGTATATCACACACACACTCACACACACACATACGCACACACACTTTCTCTTACCTACACACTCCTATGTACACTCTTACACACGCGCAGGCTCATTCACTCGCTCACTTATACACATATCCTCTCTCTGACACACACACACACACACACACTCTCTGTTGCCTACACGCTCCTATGTACACTCTTACACACACACGCGCAGACTAATTCACTCGCTCACTTATACACATATCCTCTCTGACACACACACACACACACACACACACACAAACAAACAAACAAACAAACAAAACAGCCACTCTCGCTCGCACGCACACACACACACACACACACACATGTATACAACATCTACGTTGACATATAAGTGGACTAATCTTGAACGAGGCATACTACTCTAAAACCAATTCATCCCAACCCAGACACAACAACCACCAACCAATACAAAGTGAATATGGTCACCTTTGTGCTGTGTTATTGGGGAGAGGATTTGGTTCGGAACTAAGTACTTACGGAGGAGAAGCGATGCCTGGCCAGTCAAGAATGATCAAAGTCAGACAGCGAGGCTTTATGCATGCACATATATTATACAGGAACCAACAGATGTTTCTTAAAAATACATTAGTAAATATCAATACCATTTCCACATCGTACAAAGAACTTTATGAAAAGGCCTTGGGCGAAGTATTGACATCCCCGAAACTAATACAAGTCAATGCCAACCGCGCACGACGTATTATTACATTGAGCTATGCTGACAGAACTGTTCATAGATCCACACAGCCAGAGAATTAGAAGAGGGTTCTAACAAAAACACTATTAAAATGTGCTAGTTTGTCCGTTGTGTTAGCCTTATGTGACTGCGTTTATGATGACGTAATGGATTGCTTGTTATCTACACATGTCGCACTGACGTCAGTGGAAACAACACCTTTCAAGGACCCAGCTAAACTCGCGTTTCTTCGTTAACTTACAGCCAGGAGGTCCGGCGAACAAGGGCACATACAGACTCACACTGCCACAGGCTAATTTGCATATCACGTGACCGGACTTTTCTCTTGTTTGTAATCAAACGCGCATATTCATAATAAGAAAAGACTGGACTCACGAAAGCTTTTCGGCGCTTTCTTCATAATGTTTTAGATTGTTACATATATATTCTTCCACAACTGCGACAGTTAGGTCTATGACAGTACATATTTAGATATCAAACTGGCTGCATCGTTTGCTCTCCATCAGCTTCGATGACAGCACGTGGTGCCGTACAACCTATGTAAACAAAGGATCGCTACGTAAATCGAAATAGTGTTACATGTTTTTGGGTATTTTCTCAGTGAAACTAATTCATTCTATTACAGATGTTTAGTTAGATGTGTAGACTCGTCAAAAATAAAAGAGTAAAAGAAATCTGTACATTATATTGAATGGACGGTGCAAGATGTGACGAATCGTCACATTTTTCTGGCCTGTGGCAGAGGTACTATGCTGGCTTGCCGCATGGAACTCTGGGTAGGGGAGTGATACAGACTGGTTTCATCTTGCCGTCAAGGTCTAGGTTATGCAAATGCCAAGGTCACATGAGGGAAATCGACCATAGAACTGTGGAAAATGTCTGACAGAACAGTGATCCAGACCACAGAAATGTGTTTTGGAATTGGTATTGATGTAGTCGTTGGCAAATACTTTCATGAAATGATGATGTATAAAGAGTTGGGACGTGGGCGGTGTGATAAAAATATTGTTGATACAGCCCGTGTCCATTCAAAACGTCCGAATATACGAGTTTCCGCATTAAACGAATTTGTGGATTAACGACTCATGAGTCAAGAATATTACCTCTTTCTCACTAGGTGGTATTTGCTCGGACTAAAAGGTTTTAAACCTGATTGAGCATCGTGCGTCAATCAAGGCTTATCAATCATGATTGGCTGGTTGGCTTGTTTAACGCCGCACTCAACAATTTTCCAGCCATATTGCGGCGGTCTGTAAATAACCAAGTCTGGACCAGACAACCCAGTGATCAACAGCATAAGCACACACATTGGGATACGATGACATGTGTCAACCCGGATCTTCACGGGTCATCCATCATGGAGGCAGAATGGAACAGAACATTCAATATCTTACGGCATAGGTTACATACATAGCACAGCCGCAGGCCTAGTATTGCTAGTTTGCTACTGTCCTTTGATTGCTAGCACAGTAGCCGCACTTGGGGTGTTCATCACGAGTTGTGATTATTTCAACAAGTGTTGCTCATCAGTTTGGACTCGCTTCCAGCATCAAGGTGATATGCATTCATCTCCGACTGCCTGAATGACTCACTAAATCACAGACACACGAACTCATTAGAGAGTGAGTGAATGAGTGAATGGGTGAGTGTGGTTTACATCGCTTTCAGCAATATCATGGTGGGGACTCCACAAATGGGCTTCACACATTGTACCCATGTGGGATTCGAACCCGGTTCTTTGGCGTGACGAGCGACCGATTTAAAAACAAGGCTACCCACCGTTCCTCACTGGCAGAGGTAGTTTTCCTTGTTAGGATCAACCTACATAAAGTAGTGACTATAAGTACAGGGCTATGGTCGCATTAAGTGGCAGTGATTATCAGTGACACATTTTGTCGTCCCAAGTTAAATTTCCAAAGACGATTCTCAAACTGACCCATCAGCGTCGGATGCAATTTCCTAGTTTGACTTGTGTCGTATGTTTCACGTGAACAACGGACTTTTCTTTGCATGTCTTGGTGCCTGGTGTGAACAGTATGGCGGGATACGCTCACCTTTTCATCACTGTTCGAGTATAATTCCAACATGGTCGGAATCACGCAATAAAGTCCTTTTAGCAGAGATTTGCTTATATGGAAACTGCATTTATCTTCCACATTTATTCTCATCTGAGTTCCAAATCTAACAATTTCATACAATGGTTTCTTTGATGGTGATGAGAATATTTTGAGTAAATGGGTGTAGTTTTACGCAACATTCCAGCAATATCAGACCAAGTAATACCAGAAATGAAAGCCCTAATTCAACCCCTTAGGGGATTTGAACACGGATCGGCCAACTCTTTGCCCACTAGGCTACCTCTCCGCCCCTCGCCTTGTGACAAAAGCTTTCTGCAGTCATAAAAAGTATGAACACACCGCACCTTCGTGTCGGCACTACTCTCAGCATTACATCAAACTGACTCTGAGTTGAGCTGCCATTCCCGAAAAACAACAAAGGACTGAGTATGTTGAACACATTTATTCCTGACACAGATAATAATCAGGGCAGATCAACTGGACTTCCGGATCAACGTTGTGTTGTTGTTGTCGTTGCTGCTGTTGCTTGTACTGCTTATGGAAGGAATGCTGGTTAACGCTTTCCCGGCGGACCATCCCCATTGTTGCAGCAAGAATTAGACTGATCTGGAACATAAATATACACGTTCATATTGAAGTTAATATATCAGTTGAAGTTAAGCAACGTCGAGCTCGGACAATCCTTGGATGGGTGACCGTGTTTGGCAGCTTGACTCCTGAGAGTTTCTAGGACTTCAGTCCTGCCCCACAACGATACATGTGATACATGTGGTCTCACCTTAGGCAAGTGAGTTTGTTCAAATTGTCTCTGTTCACCCAGCAGAAAATGGGTACCCGGTTCGATAAAGTCATGTGACTATAACCTTCTAGCGCCTAACAGGCAGCTTGGGTTATCCGGGGTAATGAGAATCAGATTCTGATTAAGCGGCGCGAGCAATCACTTGGTGTTTGAGGCTGTGCGCTATAGAAGATGACTAATTATTATTATTATTATTATTATTATTATATTTTAATTATACGAATAACAATATGGTGAATGAATTATTGCAGGTCGTAGAAGCTGCTACGGTAACGATGTTACAAACATAGGAAGGTAGTGAACAGTAAGAATGGGGTTAAATATTTAAAATTATTAGAAAATGTAACCCTTGTCATATTCATTTCTGGCACAGGTGATCAAAATGGCAGACACACGTCCGTGAACATCTGGGTTAGAATTGCTCTTCAGCAACCGTAAGAGGCGAGTTTCCGGACTGAGTGGTCAGGCTCTATATCAATGTATGTCTATCCCTAGATCGATGTCCGTGATGTCAGTCACCGGAAGGTCTGGTCCGGACTCAATTATTTACAGACCGCTGGGATATTGCTGAGTGTGGCGAAACAACGAAACAAACAAACAGTAACTTCCTGGAGTGGCATTTTAAAAGTTGGGACGTACTGTATTCAACTAACGTAAAGGATAACAACTTCATTATTTCGTGAGTGCGACGTTTCGATACAGATTCTTGTACCGTTGTCAAGCAGAAATTCCAAACAATAGCACAAGTAATGATCGATTCCATTCTTAAATAGGTTCAGTGCATGAAGCACATATGCCTCACTTCCTCCTCCTGCTCCAAAACAATGTCCAAATATGCATGGCACTCCTTCGTCACAGGGTGGTGAGCACGTCGCGGCGCCAACTGAAAATTGACGGAAATTATACATTTCAGAAATTAAAATTAAGAACTAAATTGCAAATATAACTATGAAATTTAATTCCCTGAACAAGCGATATCTTGGCGTTTATGTTTCCCCGACCACAAGTGGAGTGCCGTTTTTTGATTGTTTTATGGTTTTTTGTTTGTCTGTTGTTTAACGCCGCACTCAGCAATATTCCAGCTAAATGGCGGCGGTCTGTACATAATCGAGTCTGGACCAGACAATCCAGTAAACAACAGTATGATCATCGATCCACGCAATTTGGGAACCGATGACATGTGTCAACCAAGTCAGCGAGCCTGACCACCCGATCCCGTTAGTCGCCTCTTACGACAAGCATGGGTTACTGAAGACCAATTTTTAGCCGGATCTTCACTGGTTTGATTGTTTTATAATAGGGTTAGCGGGGCTTGGGTTTGTATAGAGCAGAATGGTCTCACTTATTTCGTATTGTTGTCTACAGTTTTCTGTGCTAATGATTTTATATGTCATCTGTAAGGTTATCGTTGTTTTTAAGAATTAAGAAAGATTGGGGTATTTTTGAAGGACCAAGTCCCGAAAGGTCAGAATATTATAAGCCAATATTAACTGCTCAGACAGCTGTGTAGAAATGTCAGATGTGTAGTTCAACTAGGTCACCATGCTGAAAAGAGTGACTTAGTTCTCATTGTACATCCTCTGCATTCAACGGTGTCATCACCCTCAGATTCCTACCTTATCCTAAATATATCGAGAGAACTGTCTGGCAAACAAATATGCAAATTACCATGATCATATTTCACTGAAGTGTGTAAGAGGATACTAAAATGATCGGTTGGTCAGACTCGCTGACGTGTTATCGGTTCCCAATTCCCTGTTGATCATTGGATTGTCTTGTCCAGACTGGATTATTTACAGACCGCCGCCATATAGCTGGAATATTGCTGAGTGCGGCGTAAAACTAAACTCACTCACTGACTCTCTCACTGAAGTGTCAAAATATACAGAAATGCTCCCTTTATGTGGTCTACGTGCAACATTTCGAGAGTGTTTGGACGTTTGGTTTTCGGTCTGAAACTGTTCTTCCTCTGGCATTCATTTTTTAAAACCTAATCCTTCTTCAGATGACCTAACACATATATACTGGGAGAAACAAATAACGGAACACATGAAATTCAAGTGTTCCTTTAATGTTTTCCATTTTCATCACCAGCTTTGGATAGCACTGTGGGAGGAAATCTGAAAATAAATAAAGGAACACTGCCATGAAGTGGTGTTCCTTCAATGTTTTCCTTCAGTATATTTCATGATCTACTACTTTTGGGGTTTTACCTCCAAATCCTTAAACTGATTTGCAACCACGTAATTAAACTCAATGACGATGTATATTTAGCAAAATGGATATGAAGAATGCAATCTGCTCATGTGTTAGACTTACCCCCCAGCCAAGGAAAACACGCCATTGATGCCGTCAACAGCAACACAACCGTCAACAGCCCGGTCCTCATCGTCAGTCCGTGTCTACAATGGCCAAATGAAGAAAGAAATCAGTTCTCCAAATCAAAGCTAAAATTGAAATCAAATAAATAATTCTGACAGTGATTATTTTTCGGATCCAGGAAATTTCAAAGGGGTGGGGGTGGGGGTGGTGGGGTGGGATGGGGGATGGGGAGATGTCAGGGGCTCGAACCCTTTACCTCCCCTCCTCCCCTCCTCCCCTTTGACCAATGCAAAACCTTTAACTTCAATGTGGTCTTTAGTCATTTTCAAAAGGTGAGGGGTGGGGGTGGGGGTGGGTGGGGTGGGTGGGTCGAATCCCCTGACACCTCACATCCCGCCCCTGTATCCGCCAATGTATCACGTGTAACGTGTTGTGTGTACAGAGTGACATCCTGGGTGATGTGATAAGTGATGGTTTGGGTGATGTGATAAGTGATGTGTTGAGTGATGGGTTGGTTGATGTGATGAGTGATGTGTTTAGTGATGTGTTGGGCGATGTGAGGAGTGATGGGTTGGATGATGTGCTGAGTGATGGGTTGGGTGATGTGCTGAGTGATGGGTTGGTTGATGTGATGAGTGATGGGTTGGGTGATGTGATGGGTGATGTGTTGAGTGATGGGTTGGTTGATGTGATGGGTTGGTTGATGTGATGGGTGATCTGATGAGTGATGGGATGGGTGATCTGATGAGTGATGGGTTGGTTGATGTGATAGGTCGGGTGATGGGATGGGTGATGTGTTGAGTGATGGGTTGGGTTTGGTGATGTGTTGGGTGATGTGATGAGTGATGGGTTGATTAATGTGATGAGTGATGGGTTGGCTGATGTGATGGGTGATGTGATGAATGATGGGTTGGGTGATGTGATGGTTGATGTGATGAGTGATGGGTTGGCTGATGTGATGTGTTTGGTGATGTGATGAGTGATGGGTTTAGTGATGTGTTGGGTGATGTGATGAGTGATGGGTTTAGTGATGTGATGAGTGATGGGTTGGATGATGTGATTAGTGATTGGTTGGGTGATGTGATGAGTGATGGGTTGGTTGATGTGTTGGGATGATGTGATGATTGATGATTGGTTGATGTGATGATGATGATGATTGGGTTGGTTGATGTGATGAGTGATGGGTTGGGTGATGTGATGTGAGGTGTGATGAGTGATGGGTTGGGAGATGCGCTGAGTGATGTGTTGGGTGATGTGATGGGAGGTGTGATGATTGATGGGTTGGTTGATGTGATGAGTGATGGGTTGGATGATGTGATAGGTTGGTTGATGTGATGAGTGATAGGTTGGGTGATGTGATGTGTTGGATGATGTGTTGAAGTGATGGGTTGGATGTGATGTGATGAGTGATGGGATGTTGGGTGATGTGATGGGTTGTGATGATGTGTTGGTTGATGTGATGGGTTGATGATGATGGGTTGGGTGATGTGTTGAGTGATGGGTTGGATGTGATGTGATGAGTGATGGGTTGATGTGATGTGTTGGAGTGATGTGATGAGTGATGGGTTGGGTGATGGGTTGGGTGATGGGTTGGGTGATGTGTTGATGTGATGATAGGTTGAGTGATGGGTTGGGTGATGGGTTTGATGTGGTGATATTGAGTGATGGGTTGGGTGATGTGATGAGTGATAGGTTGATTGATGTGATGAGTGATGGGTTGGGTGATATGATGGGTGATTTAATGAGTGATGGGTTGGTTGATGTGATGAGTGATGAGTTGGGTGATGTGATGGGTGATGTGATGAGTGATGGGTTGGTTGATGTGCTGGGTTGGGTGATGTGATGAGTGATGGGTTTAGTGATGTGTTGGGCGATGTGCTGAGTGATGGGTTTGATGATGGGTTGGGTGATGGGTTGGGTGATGTGCTGAGTGATGGGTTGGTTGATGTGATGAGTGATGGGATGGTTGATGCGTTGGGTTGGTTGATGTGATGAGTGATGGGCTAGGGGATGTGTTGGGTGATGTGTTTGGTGATGTGTTGGGTGATGTGATGAGTGATGGGTTGGGTGATGTGATGAGTGATGGGTTGGTTGATGTGATGGGTTCGGGATGTGATGGGATGGGTGATGTGTTGAGAGTGATGGGTTGATAGTTTGTGTGATGTGTTGGGTGATGTGATGAGTGATGATGAGTGATGTGTGGGCTGATGTGATGGGTGATGGGTTTGGTGATGTGTTGGGTGATGTGATGAGTGATGTGTTGGGTTGATGTGATGAGTGATGTGTGTTGGGTGATGTGATTGGGTGATGTGATGAGTGATGTGTTGGGTGATGTGTTGGGTGTGATGTGATGGGTGATGTGATGGATGTGATGGTTGGGTGATGTGATGGGTGATGGGTTGGTTGATGTGATGAGTGATGGGTTGGGTGATGTGATTGAGTGATGTTGGGTGATGTGTTGGGTGATGTGATGTGTTGTGTGATGGGATTGGGTGATGTGATGGGTTGGGTGATGTGATGATGTGATGTGTTGGGTGATATGTTGGGTGATGTGTTGGGTGATGGGTTGGGTGATGTGATGTGTTGTCTGATGTTTGGGTGATGTGATGAGTGATGTGGTTGAGTGATGTGATGTTGGGTGATGTGTTGAATGATGGGTTGGGTGATGTGTTGATTGAGGTGATGTGATAATAGTGATGTGTTGGGTGATGTGTTGGGTGATGGGTTGGGTGATGGGTTATGTGGTAAAGGTGAATGTGATAGGTTGTGATGGGTTGGAGTGATGATGTTGAGGTGATGGGTTGAGTGATGGTGTTGATGGGTTGGGTGATGTGTGTGATGGGTTGGGTGATGTGATGGGTGATGTGATGTGGGTGATGTGATGTGATGGGTTAGGTGATGGGTTGTGATGTGATGATGTGATGGGTGATGTGTTGGAGTGATGTGTTGGGTGATGTGTTGAGTGATGTGGTTGGGTGATGGGTGATGGGTTGTGATGGGTGATGATGTGATTGGAGTGATGGGTTGGGTGATGATGGTTGGGTGATGTGTTGGGTGATGGGTTATGTGATGTGATGATGGTGATGGGTGATGTGGGTTGGGTGATGTGTTGATGGTTGATGATGGTTGGGTGGGTGATGGTTGATGTGATGATGAGTGATGGGTTGGGGTGATGGGTTGAGTGATGTGTTGAGTGATGTGTTGAGGGTGATGATGTGGTGATGGGTGATGTGTTGTGTGATGATGATGTTGAGTGATGTGTTGATGATGTGATGTATGATGATGTTGGGTGATGTGATGAGTGATGGTGATGAGTGATGGGTTGGGTGATGTGATGGTTGGGTGATGTGTTGAGTGATGTGGTTGGGTGATGATGATGATGTGAGGTGATGTGTTGGATGATGTTGGGTGATGTGTTGATGTGATGTGTATGATGTGATGTGATTTGGGTGATGTGTTGTGTAATGTGTTGTGTGATGTGTTGGGTGATGTGATTGGGTGATGTGTTGAGTGATGGGTTGGAGTGATGTGTTGATGTGTTGGGTGATGTGATGAGTGATGGGTGATGTGTTGGGTGATGTGTTGTGATGTGTTGAGTGATGTTGAGTTGGGTGATGTGTTGATGATGGGTTGGTGATGGGTTGGGTGATGTGTTGAGTGATGTGGTTGGGTGATGTGTTGAGTGATGTGTTGTGTGATGTGTTGTGGTGATGTGTTGGCTGATGTGTTGTGTGATGTGTTGTGTGATGTGTTAGGTGATGTGTTGGGTGATGTTGTTGGGTGATGATGGTTTGATGTGTTGATAGGTGATGGTTGGTGATGATGATGTGTTATGGGTTGGGTGATGTGTTGGGTGATGGGTTGGGTGATGTGTTGATGAGTGATGGGTTTAGTGATGTGTTGAGTGATGTGTTTGAGTGATGGGTTGCGTGATGTGTTGAGTGATGTGTTGAGTGATGTGTTGAGTGATGTGTTGAGTGATGTGTTGTTTGATGGGTTGAGTAATGGGTTGGGTGATGTGTTGGATGTTGGGTTTAGTGAATTCCAGTGTGAAGTATCTTTCTTATGGGAGTAAGAACGATAATATTCCTGTGTTGACGCAGTCTTCACTGCCACAATGAATAATGGATGTAAGCCAATTGGTTGCAAGCAAGAAAAACAATCAGTGCTATATTTGTATAAAGCGATCACATCCGTAAAGTGAGTGAGTGAGTGAGTGTAGTTTTACACCGCACTCAGCAATATTCCAGTTATATGGCGGCGATCTGTAAATAATCGAGTCTGGACAAGACAATCCAGTGATCAACAGCACGAGCATCGATCTGCGCAATTGGGATACGATGGAATTGTGAACCAAGTCAGCGAACCTGACCACCCGATCCAGTTAGTCGTCTCTTACGACAAGCATGGGTTACTGAAAATCAATATTCTAACCCGGACCTTCACGGGTTGTAATGTCTTAGTAATCAAAACATATTGTTCTGTGTACTTACGAATCTGAGTAGTCTTGCCAATCACTAAATATCAAAGTGAGGGAGAGAGACTTTATACACGCATGGACCAACAGATGTTGTTGGTTGCGTCAACACCATACCGACGTCGCACAAAGACCCTTTGGAATGTGTGAAGGCGTGTTGACAGCCTGGAGTTTAAAGCGAGCCGATACCAACCGTGACCGATAGCTGTTTCATTGTAGTGAGCCAAGAAAACTGACCATAGATCCTTGCAGGAACATAATGGGGTCTCCGTCAATGAGATACGTTTGTACGCATAGTCTTTTCTTACTGTTTATATTCATATGGCCGCGAATGCCAACTCTCTCTAGCTCAATCTATCTTTATCTCAGTTCCATAACGTTATTCATGAATTTATTGTCCTGATGTGTGAGTGAGTGAGTGAGTATGGATTTACGCCGCTTTTAACAATATTCCAACAATATCACATATCAATATCAACATAAGGTTATTATTCTGTAGAATCTAGTTAGATATAAGGTTATCCTGAGGAAAAGATCATCTCAATAAAAAACAATAGAATTATGCCACTGAGGGGCGGGACGTTTATCATAACTATGGTTCCTGCTACAAGTTTGGAAAGAGGTGGAAATGTTGGTGAATACCGAGATGTTCAACGTATTCAAGATATGGAGCGCAGCCTTGACGTTTGTAATAATAATAATAAAATAATAATTCATGTATACTCATGCTAATAATGGTTGTCACCCCCTCCCACCCCAACCCCCACAAACCTCACACCCCCACCCCACACCCCTCTCAAATTAAAAAATTGAAGGGGCTGACAACCATTATTGGCATGAGTATATATAGCGCCTAGTATCCATCTATCTAGTTGCTCGCTGGAGAAATCCTTGTCTTGGTATCTGCGAGTTTCATTCTTTTTGCCATCCACCATCTGATTATTATTACCCCGGATAACCCAAGATGCCTGTGAGGCGCTAGAAGGTTCATAGTCACCTGTGTGCGAAATAGCCACTGGCCAGCAAGCCCATGGTTAGTAAAAATCCAGTCGGGCCAGTAAATCTCCAGTTGCTGGCCCGACTGGCTTGTGAATTTTCATGGGATCATTTTGTAAATATATCACTCTCTCCGACTAGTTAAGTTATAATACACTTTTATGGCCTGATAAAAAAGTTTAGCATGTTAGCAGCTTAATGATGAAACCCGTGTCATGCCGACAATATCTTATTCTCATTTTTTAATCTTTTGCTTAGTTTCTACATTCAAATTTCGGGCTCGTGATTATTTTGTGGGCTAGTAACTTTCAGATATAGCTAGTACGACTACCTAGCATAATTTGGAAATTAGTTCGCACACTGATAGTCACATGACCAATTATCCCACCGAGTACCCATTTTTGGCTGGGTGAACTGAGGCAATTTTAAACAACTTACATGTTTAAAGTGATACCACATATATCCTCTGCGCTTCGTTTCGGGGCAGAACTGACAAGTCAAAACATTGATGACACAACAGTCTCGTTTCCTGCTGACTGGGTTCCGTCCTATTGCGCAACTTCGTTTAACTTCAACTGATTTGTACAGGACCACACACCACCACAAGGTTCAGCATGATTTATATTGCTACTGGTCAATAAAATCTACCAGCAAGTACCTTCTTCGATTGATTAGTGATGAAATATGCGTAAAGACTTGAGTTGGTTTAAAGATCACTCACTGCAAACACTATATTCTGTGGCATTATGCCCGTGCCAGAGGGTGTATCACTGGCGCCAAAATACCAACCATGGCTTTCTAATCAGACAATCCTTTTTTCAAAAAATCAATTCCAACAATATCCTACTGTATGGATTCATGATTGACCCAAGTAAGGTTTGTTAAACGTGTCTTTGAACATATGTTATGCCTTAGGGTGTCAGATTTTTGTTAAGATCAAGCCCGATGTGAAGGTCTTTGGCGTTTTTTAAGTACCAGGGCCTCGATTTTCGAAGATCTCTTAGAGATAAGATAGTCGTAAGTCTATGTTAATTTATGGCACTTACGACTATCTTAGCGCTAAGAGAGCTTCGAAAATCTAGGCCCTGGTGAAAGAAAAGCCTCTAACACGGGTATGGCGGACCTCGATTAGAATCCCCGACGACATATCTCAGCGTCGTCGCAGCGGTACAGAGAGTGTAACGACAATCCTGCAACATCTGTTATTTACCTGCGCCAAGTATATCAATATATCTTTGATCTTGCCGCCTCGTACAATATGTTTATCAAAGAAGCATAAAGGACAACAGACTTATCTCCCTTTGCCCTTTGAAGTATTGAAGCCTTTGTCAGATTGTTCGTAATGTCGAGATGATGGTGCTCAACAAGGGCAGCTAATGGTTCAAAAGGTACATTAAAGAGACGGCAAGGCGGGACAAACGATGCCGACTGAAATATGTTTAATTTTAGTTGTTGTATTGCCTGGGGAAATAGGCTTTGATGAACCTTCTGCGATAGGCTCGGTACTACATCGGCGTTATGGACCTAAAACGCCCTTTGACTTGCTCTTTGTTAAATTGAAATAAATCAAAATATTTATCCATATCCTGTTTTACAAATATATTCATATCTCACCTTATCAAGGTTACCAAATTTGGGACCGCGTTGTCATGGCAAAGAGTGAGTGAGTATGGTTTTACGCCGCTTTTAGGAATATCCCAGCAATATCACCAGAAATGGGCTTCTCACATTGTACCCATGTGGGGAATCGAACCCGGGTCTTCGGCGTGACAGGCGGACGCTTTCACCACCAAGCTACTCCACCGCTCCCATGACAAAGAACCGAAAGTGGACAGAACAGATTGTGTTGTCTAAACAGTCCTGTTTTTCATAGTGAAAGGGTCAATGAATTCTCCTCGACTGCTTCCGGTTGACAAGAGAACTATTCTTATACTAAGTTTGAAACTAACCACATCCAATCTTAGGCATACTCTGCAGTTCGTCAAGGAGGCAAATGCCCTGTGTTAGTACAGCAAACGTACTGCTCCATATAACAGCCTACATTCAGTACACAGTTGTTCTATTTTCTATTGTACCAGTGATCACACTCACTGAAGATGAGGATGAATCTACTACTGCTACTACTACTTCTACTACTGCTGCTACTACTGCTGCTGCTGCTGCTGCTACTACTACTGCTGCTGCTGCTGCTGCTGCTGGGGCGGTGGGATAGCCCAGTGGTTAAAGCGTTTGTTCAAAGACCCGGGTTCGATTCCCCACATGGGTACAATGTGTGAAGCCCATTTCTTGGGTCCCCTGCCGCGAAATTGCTGGAATATTGCTAAGTGCGGCGTAAAACTAGACTCACTCACTAACTTCTCCTCCTGTTGACGCTGCCGCTACTACTAATACCAAATACTACTACTGCTGCTACTTCTACTAAATACTACTAATACTCCTACTATTGCTGTTGTTGTTACCGTTTCCACAGCTAAACCTCTTTCGACTTCTACTACAACTGCTACCACTACTAAACCCAATTTCTACTGCTAGTATAACTACAACTACTTTGCATATCGTTCAGATATATCCACGTTGTGACATTCTAGCCATGCGCGTACATTCATGTGCACCTTTAATTACGGACCGCCTCCGTGATGTAGTGGTTAGAGCGTCCGCCCGGAGAGCAGAAAGTCGCGGGTTCGATCCCCGGCCGCGTCATACCAAAAGATGTTAAAATATGGTACTTGTTGGTCCCTGCCTGGCGCTCGGCATTAATGGATACATCAAGGACTGGTCGGCTCGGAGTCAGTATAATGTGTCTGAGTGGGGTATTCATGATTCACTGCGGCATGGTATCTCAGTGGGCTAGCACTATAAAACCAGCTTAAGTCTGGGCTAGTACAAGCAGCCGCACATACACACACACGCATGCGCGTCGTCATATGAGCGAAATATTCTCCAGCACGACGTTAAACCCAATTTCACCTCACCTCACCTTTAATTACGATAAAAACAACCATAATTTTGAGTTATTAGCAAAACCGTTTACAGTTTTCTTTCATGTGTATTAGATAAAGCTCCAGCATCAATACGTGAAATCATTAGATATGAGAAGGATTTAATAACATCTAAAATTCTTTGAAATGTAGATGGGCATTGTGGTAACAGTACATTGTATTTTATGAAATGAGCGTTTTGAAGTCCCTTTATTGCTTTGATCTATAAGGTAAACTTGGTCAATATAACATTTAAACATTCTTTCATGCTTGCATTAAGCTATTTTATACTCATACAAAGGATATGCACAAATCAATCTCATTTAAGTGACATGTGTTCTCGCCACAGCGACAAATACATCTGAATTACGGGCCATGTCAAAACGACCTTTCATACGACCAATCATAGCGCTGCTTGTCAGGCAAGAAAACCCTGAAGTTTATCGTGCAACCTGGTACGTATGGAATACTGTAAGGGACATTCTCGCGATCTCGCATTCTCGCGATCTCGACCTTTGGAAACAAGCTAAAAATGCCAAAAGTGCGAGAATGCGAGATCGCGAGAACGCGAGATTTTGGCCAAATCTCGCGTTCTCGCGATCTCGCATTCTCGCACTTTTAGCATTTTGACCTTGTTTCCAAAGGTGGAGATCGCGAGAATGCGAGATCGCGAATATGTACAGTATTCCATAGGTACGGATGTTCCGAACGGCAGTTTCGTAAAACCTCGCTTCGTTGGGGTAAACATTTGAACGGTGTTGAGATTGATCGCCCGCGGGGAGTACTACCAAACAATCTCGACTATCTACTTAACATTATTTCAGAATTTATTTTGTAAAGTTTATCAAATTCTGAATAGAGAACTTTGTCAAGATGTATTTCAGTGGTAGTCTGGTTAAAACTAGCGCCAAATAACTCGAAAGGTGTGTTTTCTGAATGGCTAATGTGGAATGTTTGATAGTCTTTCATTGGTGGGCTGAAGTTCGCTAGAGGTCATTCTTGCGTGACCTAGATGTTCTTAGATCTTTGTCTAACGGTAGTGAAAAGTCCGATATGGTCTAATGACTTATGTGTATTCAATACTATTCGATATCCAGCAGACACATGTCATTGGTTCCCAATTGCGCAGATCGATGATCATGCTGTTGATCACTGGATTGTCTGGTCCAGACTCGATCATTTACAGACCGCCGCCGTATAGCTGGAATATTGCTAAGTGCGACGTAAAACTAAACTCACTCACTCCCGATATGCAGCATAAAATGACCCCATGTGCTAATTTATGATCTTCGTCTCCATCGCATAAACGATAACAATTTTAGAATATTAATCAACTTCAAATAATTCAGGGAAAAAGCACTTTTGTACAAGTGTTAACGTTAAAAATTCACATTTTCTTAAAATGTATAAATTATATAATTTATACAAATCTTCCTCTTTTGTTTCGTTCCAAACCAATCTGTATCGTTTGAGACTGAATAACACATGATCATGAAAATACAGACCCTGAAGGTACACTCGATCAATAATGCATTTATTTGCTTTTAATATGTCTTGCACTAAGCATAGATTTACTATTCACCATTCACATCGACCTTTGTCGCAGTAAGTATGGTCTTCAAGTGTTTTGTTAGTACGAGCCTTTTCCGGCACAATTCGTATTCGAAGTTTTCGACAAAGTAAACCACAGCAGACACAAGGTGAATCGTAATGGCTTTCTGGGAGTGGTTTAACTGAAGCATTGAAGTAGTGATTCATCATCTAGTTCTTGGGCGGCATCGTTGGCAACCGTCTTCGTGAGCTTCATTTTCTCGTCATCATGTTGGGACGTAAGGTCGGAGTTTGGGTGTTTATTATTTTCCATTCGGTTTTGTCGGACAATGTGTCATTCCAATCGTTGGGGAGCTGCAGCAGGGACTACAAGTTTGTGACAAACGTGAATGTCGCGACGACGGCAGCATCGACGATAGACTGTCTGAGGCGATGTGCACAACACGCATGGTGCAGTGGAGCAAACATTTGTCTGCTTCCTGGTCATGCAAAATTACAATGTGAATTACTGGCATCCACTTCCGGTCAGTCATGTGGTCATCTTCAGGCAGAACCCGGATGTTCCTATAGGGAAAAGGTGAATTGAAGTCAAGAATTTGTTTTACATTAGTTATGTCACAGCTGTATTGGATGATTACCCTCTGTAATAGAGCTTAAACCTACTCTTTTGTCTTTGACGTAGAATGTACAAGACTTGAATATATATATATATATATATGTATAGTCCATGATCAAACTGAGGATAGCAGGAATGCGGTCACAGGCCTTTATGAAAGAAACGAAACATTTAACTTTTAAAATATATATATATATATATATATATAGTCCATGATCAAACTGAGGATACCAGGAATGCGGTCACAAGCCTTTATGAAAGAAACGAAACATTTAACTTTTAAAAATATATATATATATATATATGTATAGTCCATGATCAAACTGAGGATAGCAAGAATGCGGTCACAGGCCTTTATGAAAGAAACGAAACATTTAACTTTTAAAATATATATATATATATATATGTATAGTCCATGATCAAACTGAGGATAGCAGGAATGCGGTCACAGGCCTTTATGAAAGAAACGAAACATTTAACTTTTAAAATATATATATATATATATATATATAGTCCATGATCAAACTGAGGATAGCAGGAATGCGGTCACAGGCCTTTATGAAAGAAACGAAACATTTAACTTTTAAAATATATATATATATATATATAGTCCATGATCAAACTGAGGATAGCAGGAATGCGGTCACAGGCCTTTATGAAAGAAACGAAACATTTAACTTTTAAAATATATATATATATATATATAGTCCATGATCAAACTGAGGATAGCAGGAATGCGGTCACAAGCCTTTATGAAAGAAACGAAACATTTAACTTTTAAAATATATATATATATATATATATAGTCCATGATCAAACTGAGGATAGCAGGAATGCGGTCACAAGCCTTTATGAAAGAAACGAAACATTTAACTTTTAATATATATATATATATATATATATATATATATATATATATATATATAGTCCATGATCAAACTGAGGATAGCAGGAATGCGGTCACAAGCCTTTTATGAAAGAAACGAAACATTTAACCTTTAAAATATATATATATATATATATAGTCCATGATCAAACTGAGGATACCAGGAATGCGGTCACAGGCCTCTATGAAAGAAACGAAACATTTAACTTTTAAAAACATGTAACTGAAAAATTTGTGTTTTCGAGAAATTGACAACTTACTGATCACAAATACAAACTGAATTTTGTTTCTATTCACTAAACTTCTTTAAATGGCATTTAGAAGCTGTTATGATGAAGAGGAACCATTTTTATCATCATCACGTGCTTGATAACGGTGTCAGCATCAACTGTGAAACGTCGCATCTATTGCAATATGGAAATTGTCTATCCATAAAAAATGTTTCTCTATTCTTATCGTTGAATTAAGTATGTTATATTTGAAGTACACATCCAGTCGTCTTATTTCTCAAGGTTGTACATATTGCACGTTAGTAGCTTAACTACATTTTGTTATTAATTGTCTGATTGTTTTCATTATTTGTCAGGTTCCAGAGAACCCGTGTCAGAATGGCGGAACATACTTGGTGAATACTGCCACATGTATTTGTGTGTTTGGGTTCACGGGGCATGTTTGTGAGCGCCGTTATTACGGTAGGTAACAGAACGGTCTCTATACGTTATCGTTATACATTCTAAGACTGAAAGGTTTCATTTGTACTTACCATAGTCCATAGTGAGGTGAGGTGAGGTGAAATTGGGTTTACGTCGTGCTGGAGAATATTTCGCTCATATGACGACGTGCAGGCGTGTGTATGTGTATGTGCGGCTGCTTGTACTAGCCCAGACTGAAGCTGGTTTTATAGTGCCAACCCACTGAGATACCACGCCGCAGTGAAACATGAATACCCCACTCAGACACATTATACTGACTCCGAGCCGACCAGTCCTTGTTACACCCATTAATGCCAAGCGCCAGGCAGGGACCAACAAGTACCATATTTTAACGTCTTTTGGTATGACGCGGTCGGGCATCGAACCCGCGACTTTTCGCTCTCCGGGCGGACGCTCTAACCACTACACCACGGAGGCGGTCATAGTCCATAGAAGATATTGAGACTGATAAATTTAATATATGCATGTTTCAAGATGTTGGGTCTCAGAACCACATACATTGATTAACGATTGAGGATGGTATTACGCCACTTTTAGCAATTCCAGGAATATCACGTCTGAGACACCAAAAATGGGCCTCAGCAATTTTATAATTGTGGGGAATCGAACGCAGGTCTTCGACGTGAGGAGCGAACGCTTCAACAACTAGGCTACCCCACCGCCGCCGATAAGAATAACATGCAAGGTAGTTTAACGTCGCGTTGATTAATATGTATTAAGCTTGTGTTAGTGCATGGATGCTTGCAGTAGTTCAGACTACTACCGGTTTCATAGAGCTGGGTCGCTGACATGTTATACGATTCTGAAGCAGCTGTCTGATTGCTCACTGACTGAATTCCATAAATGAATGTCTCCGTTGCTTGTATATACACGTTATGACGTTATTCCTCTTTTCAGATTGTTCCGAGGCCTATTTGATGGGAGAGCGAGTTGCCAGTGACATCACCCCCCTTGTCATTCAGCCCTTGACTTCCCCATCCCCCTTCACAGTGTCGTGCTACCTCGCCTGGGGCGGCTTCACCTACATCGAAAAACGGATGGGAGGCGGTTGTCCCGAAGTCGACTTCAACAGGACGTGGGCGGAACTGAAACACTTTGTGGGAGATGTGACGTGTTCGTATTGGCTCGGCTTGGAGCACATCCACCAGCTTACCAGCCAGAACACCTACATGTTAGACATGTACATCACAGCACCCGGTGGTTTCGGGGGTCACGCCCTCTACTCGGACTTTCGCCTTGGCAGCGAAGGTCAAGGTTACAAGTTCAAATATAACACTTACGTTCAACATGGATACCCAGCCGATGATGGATTTACATATGGAAGTAACAACGGTGTAAATGGCTTCAACTTCTCAACTCTGGATCGCCCTGACCCTAGTGGGTGTGTCAGCAGTGGCGCCGCCTGGTGGTATGGTTCAGGCTGCCCGGAAGTGAACCTCCACCTGCCCATGAAGACCGGTGGGGTCTCTGACCCAGCTACGTGGGTAGATGATGGATCCCAGATAGAAGTAACCACACTTGTGGCTCAGCTGTCTACAGTATGGCCTTGACGTCGGTAGACTGATCATACACTACTCAAAAGAAGTTAAGGATATGACTTGAACTGTAGTATTAAGAAAAAATCGGATGATCCTTAATTACAGAATACTGCGACTCCTTCATACGGATGAATATCCGATTCTAAGACACACTAACGCACGTACGAGCCCACGAACGCACACACGCATAATATCAAGTAGTCAGAGGCACATAGGATATATACACTCAGGTTTGGTTTATTGGTCCTGCGTTCACATCGATTAGATTCGAGTGTTTTCTGATTAGACATTTCTTGTCGATAATTGGTTATGAAGGGATGCAGATTTACTGATAGAGCTTGAAGCAATATTCATCCATTCATAATTGATCGTCTCCTAATGTGTCATTTGCTTTGTTGTTATTAAATCTTATGTTTTGTGCTTTCAGTTTGCCCTAAAATATAAAATACATTTTCCATCCGCGTTTGGTCAACATTTAATTCGATAGTTGATCATGATATTTTGGTCTTTTGTTCCTAGTTCCATTATTACGTCCTTCTTAGTTTACATTCAGACTAGACAATATCTCTGATACCTCCTGTCCCCCTTGTATGTATGGAGACAGTCCCTACCAAATCATAAGGAGGTTTACAATAGGATTCATTAACATAATTTAGTATCACTGAAAATCTTATAGTATCTGCATAAAGTTTGAAGTTTCGATAGTTTGGCTTTGATAGTATTTTATTGAACAATTTTTTAGATATACGTGAATACATTTTTGACTTAGTGTAATAAACGAATCGAAGTCATATATATTTATCTATTATTTCAAAAAGTATTTATTTTCCAATCTAGATTAAACTGACGGCCAAATAAAGGTCAGCTCAGAAAACATAGTTCGGCACGTAACATTACCTTAAATGATCACTCCTCGATACATGACACGCACATACTATCCGGCACACAGAACACAGTGTGAACACAGAACCGGAAGCGACTGGGGTAATGGAGGCGAAGAACGGTTTGACATGCCACGAGTGGCGCTTATAATGTTGAATTTAATATATTTACGATAGTAAGTATTTAATGTGAGGTTGGAAATCTGAGAGCACAACCCTGTGAGGAAATGGGCGTCTACCTTTGATGGTGGCGATATTTCATTTTGATATTAAAAATATTTTACGAACCTAAGCGAGGGAAGTACGCTGTCAACCTTTGCTCGCTTCGCTCGCATATAATAAGACTGGTAAGTTCTCTTTGTTGCGCAACCCTATTTGCGCTACAGTTTGCCTGTGCACAGAAAACGTCATTTGTCTGATAACGTCACGTGGGATATGTCGCCATTCTTCCAGGAGTGCCTGTATCAGTTCTTATTGGCTGGGGGGCGGCGGGGTAGCCTTGTGGTTAAAGCGTTCGCTCGTCACGTCAAAAACCCGGGTTCAATTCCCCACATGAGTACAATGTGTGAAGCCCATTTCTGGTGTCCCCCGCCGTGATATTGCTGGAATATTGTTAAAAGCGGCGTAAAACTCAACTCACTCACTCACACTCTTATTTGGTGGCTTGAGGTCGTGGTTGCTGTCCGTGACAACCTGGAGGTATTCTATGGGGACGTCAGTGGATGGTGCGCGCTACGTCAACACGTAGCGTTGTTGGCTGCAAGGACGTTACGCGATAACTCGGACTGGTATTTTGTCATGACACCACGTGGAATTGTTGCAGAATTGGTATAACAATTGGAGGGAGACTGTCATTCATGGCACGCTGAGCTGTCCGATTTCCTTCACGAACACCACTTGAATCTCAGATACGGTCCTTGTTTTATGCAGTGGAAGCGTCAATAAAGAATCAGCACTTCAAATATTCTTCTTAAGTACTGCGTTAGTTGAGTATACGCCCTCTGGGGTTCTCTTCGTACTGCGTTCTATTGTAGAATACAAATATTTCTATGTTTGAGTGCTTCGCTAAGAAAAATCAATGATGGCGAGGACAATAGAATATGTTTTATCAAACACGTTTTCCGACATCGTTCTCCTCAGTTTTAAGAACGCACGACTCCCGAGTACTATTCGAGCACCTGCTCTCGTGGTGACAATGTTCTGGTAAGTATATATGACGGGTGCACACATACAATCTGCATCCCTTGACCTTGCCGGACTGACGGGCATGGTCGAGTCAATAGGAGATGAAATCGAATAAGATTCATCGAGTGCACAAATACAAATCAAGGACTTTTTTGTACTTAAATAAATAATATTGTTAAGTACGTGTATTTATGTGTTCCTCAATTATTGATGGAGACACGGTTACCAAGGTCGCGAAAGGCGTCAGACGTTATTTTTGGGTAACTTTAGTCTCAGATATACGTATGCTAATAATTCCTTCCTCCGGTTTCATATGTTAGTCCACTGCATGCTCAACACAGCCGCGGGGCGGTGGGGTAGCCTAGTGGTTAAAGCGTTAGCTCGTCACGCCGAAGACCCGGGTTCGATTCCCCACATGGGTACAATGTGTGAAGCCCATTTCTGGTGTCCCCCGCCGTGATATTGCTGGAATATTGCTAAAAGCGGCGTAAAACTAAAACTCAGTCAGTCAGTACTGCTAGGGGCAATGAATATGTCAACAGTGTCAAGCTGGGGAATCGAACCCGGGTCTTCGGCGTGACGACGCAACGCTTTAACCGGTGACCTCCCAAAAGTTAGACGTCCCAAAAGTTAGACGCGTTAAAGCAACAAAGGTTATGGTTGGTTGCACTGAGGTTCACTACACTGTTACCTTCGTTAATTAATGTACTACTCCAAATATACTAATCCAAACACAAAGAGAAGCTGGATCATGACAATGACTTTATTTGACATGAAACAAAACAATTTGATTGTATTTTTGTTATATGTTACTTTACAACCAACCTATGTTTAAAAACGTAATTATTAGGTGAATAATGATGAACATAATAAAATGTTAAAAAATGAGTTAAAGTAAAAAGAACATATATACATATGTATAACAATTAAGTGGTAAAAAGTGGAATTATTGTATTATTGTTTTTGTTTCTAGATTGTTTGATATAATTTTGTATGAATACGATATTTAGTGATTGTTTTAATTAATTTGGGGTTTGTTAGAATGTTGAGATCAGAAGAGTTAGCATTATTGAGGTACTGTTTTAAAGCATTGGTAAATGGGGTTCTTTGTTTATTATATTTTGAGCAGTTAAAGATAGTGTGGGCTATTGTTTCAGGAATTTGGCAAGTGATACATTTGCCGTTTGGATGAAGGTTGATTTTGTGTAGATAGTGTTGAATTTGGTAGAGTGGATAATGTTTTCCTATTATTTGCCAGTTATAATTGAATGTTAACCCTACATCCTGTACTTATCTCTCTCTATATTTTATATTGTTGATGCTGGAAAAACAATGCTAGGAAGGAAGTCACTCCTTTAGGTGAATGGAAACTCAACAACATAAAAAAATGTATAATCATGTTTTGATCAAAGTGAACATTGTAAAAACAAGCATGCAAAATCTATAATCTTGTTTTGATCAAAGTGAACATTGTGAAAACACATTTGGAGAACCCAGTCAACATTAATATTCTGATCAAAGTATTTCTGTACAAACGTGAAAACCATCTCGTTGGTGTATGGGGCAGGTTCATTATATCAGTGGGTAAGACAAGGTTGTAATCACAGTCACGCCTGATTTATTTGTCTGACTTTTGGGACGTCTAACTTTTGGGAGTAAACCCTTTAACCACTAGGCTACATCGCAGTAGAGAGTGGGTGAGTGAGTTTGGATTTACACCGCTTTTAGCAATATTCCCGCAATATCATGGCGGCTTCACACATTGTACCCATGTGGAGAATCGAACCAAGGTCTTAGGCGTGATGAGCCAACACTTTTTATTATAGGATATTTATATAGCGCACATATCCACACACTAGTGCATGCTCAAGGCGCTGTTATTTTCCCCCTCGATCATTGGAAGTCAATCTCAACGGCACATCGTATTATCAGTCTCAACTCCCTGGGGAGTATACAACTCTTGCTGCCACAAGGCGCACCGAGTTATTGTGGCTTTCTCATCCTAACGAGGCCAGCCCACCGCCCCAGTAGTAGAGGGAAAATACAACGGAATACTCGTATGTGTAATTGTAATGAAGCAGCATGAACTGATTATGTACTTAGTGAAATGTTTCAATGCAGCCTTGTTTCATATTTACTTGTATTATAACAACGTATGGTATGGATTCGCAACATTTTAAGTGGTTACAACACGACGTTTCTGGGATACTTATTGCCCCTTCATCCCGTTATTGTTCAGTCCCCTATATGACTGATGGACAAACGCAACTATGGCAAATAATGTGTTGTTTGTAGCTTAACGCGGCACTCAGCATTATTCCAGCTATATGGCGGCGTTCTGTAAACAATCGAGTAACCGAACCAGGGATTGATATCATGAGCATCGATCTAAGCGATTTCAAAACGACATGCGTTAACAAGTCAGCGAGTCTGACCCTCTTATCCCTCTTACGACAAGCATGTGTTGCTGAAGACCAATTCTAACCCGGGCCTTCACGAGTTAATATAATATTAATGCTGATAACTATCGAGGAGAAACTGTATGGGGTTCTATTTGTAAAATGTCCCCCGCCGTGATATTGCTGGAATATTGCTAAAAGTGGCGTAAAACCAAACTCACTCACTCACTCACTCTATTTGTAAAGTATATATCCTGACTGTTACTAGCAGAATGACGTTTTGGTCTGATGCAATAGGAAGCAATGACAATAAAAACAGGGAGGGTTTCGAGATGGATATTCCATAATGTTTCCAGTTTACAAGCATTAACTGTAAAATATGTCTCTAAAAGGGGAGGTAAATTACGTGCAGGCTTCATTGATTTCTCTTAGGCCTTTATTCGGTTCAAAGAAATAAGTACATGTTTGGAAACCATCTGAGGGCAAAATCATTTTAACTCATTTACGAGTAAGTTGAATCTTGTTTTCGCCTCTGGTATAATAACATTACAAGCATGCTTTGTTGCTCTTTGGCATCGCATCGGGCTATACCTGTTATGGTATATAAACCAATCACATTTTTTTGTATGAACACGACATGTAAAAATGATAATCTGTTATGTCGCGGATTAAAGTATTGCTTGTACTTTAAGCAGAGTCCCCTGCCATGTTCTCCGACTCTGCGCTAGCTAAGAGCATCAATCTCTTACGTCAAATGAACATTTTAGAAAATTATTGCGCCAAGAAGTCACAGTCTGTCAAGTTATTGTTGTAAAGATTAGGGCTGTAACGATGCATCGAACTATCGATGGATTGCAATTGTTGAATCTCCGATAGCAATTAATCGATGGTAGAAAGGAAAAATATCGATGCGTATGTGTGACAATCGATAGTTTAGTAATTGACTTCCGATGATGCGCAGTGCAAAATACAGGAAGTACCAGATTCGTTCACTTTGATATATATCAACAGACACAGACACAGGACACTGATCAGGATGTATATTTTATGTGGGCAATATTCAGAACACACACCTTTAATCAGTGTATGAAATAAGCAAAAACCCTAGCCAGACATCAGAGTTGGTAACTTTAAAATGTTACCAGCCCCAAATGGATTTTACCAGTCCTGACACCAACATATGGTGAATTTACTGTTGTATGGAACATTTTTACTAGACCATCGGGCTGGCCAGCTGTAGGTTTAGACCGTCCGTAAGAAATCTCGGGCGGTCGGTCGGGCCTAATTTATACACTGCTTTAATCCTACCATTTCCTTCTTTTGCCGGTTTTGCAGTGATAACAAGGTACATGTCGAAGCTCCACAAAGTTTTTCAGTTTCAGAGGCAATGGAAGAAAGTCTACACCGGCCTGAACCCGCTGCCCTAAGCAGTCCCGTACCTCAAAACAAGCCAGTTCCTTCAGACTCCGAGGTGTACACACAAAGGTCTTTAGTTGGTCCATCTTAAGCTGCCACGCAGCCTCCGGAGCTCTTAGTGGCAGATCGTACAGGTGGTCGTAGTCGTGGTCGTCGCCGTCGTCGGCATCGTCTTCGTCATACATCTCCAATTCAAATGTCGGGTCGTACCCTGCGTTGATGAACAGGTCCGTAATGTTCACATTCCTTGCATAGAGCCCCAAAATAAATGCTGTATGGTAGACGCTATTCATGGGCAACATGTCCACGTTGAGTTCGACAACGAGGAAGCGTACTACGTCGTAGAAACCGTGTCTCACGGCCTGGTGTAACGGCGTCCATTCCCTCACATCTGGACTTTCGGGATCAGCTCCACGAGAATGTAAAAACTTGGCCATGTCAACATTCCGGTTATAAACTGCCACGAAAAAAGGAGTCTGTTCTCTCTCGTCTGTTGAATTCACGTCTGCCCCAGCGTCTATGAGATCTCGCGCTATTTCAAGACATCCGTGACTTGCGGCAATGTGTAGTGGGGTTGTGCCGTTTTTGTCACATGAATTAACATCCACACTTTGAGTTACTAAGTACTGGACAATATCACGCTGTTTCTTGTCAACAACAACTGACAGCAGAGATAATTCTTGTTTCCCAATAGTGATATCAACGGACACTCCATGACCTATAAAGTACTTAATAATGTCTAATCTCCCCTGATTAACAGCGTACGATATCGGAGATATCCCAGTCGCCTTCCAATCAACACCGTCCACGCCATACTGTTCAACAAGGCACTTGACAACGCTCACATGTCCCCCCAAACACGCTATATGAATGGGGAAGACGAAATTACATAGTTCTGTTTCATAGTTCGTTTCGTCTAAGCTGAACCCTAAATAGATCAAACATTTCACCATTTCAGGGTCCCCACACTGGGCTGCGACCCCCACGGGAAAATAGTCCTGGCGCTTCACGGAGGAGTAACAAAACCGCCGATAGTAAGCTGGGGGATACATGTGTTTTGTTTGAACATACCGCTTCACGGCGCACAGATCGCCCTGTCGGATCAACGAGTTGAGTTTGGCTATATGTTGGTAATCTTTATCTGTAATCTGTATGACTTCTGTTGTTAAATTACCTTCGGTGAACATGTTGATGAATTCTTAGTCTTGTGTTTGTCTGTTACGGTTGGTATTTCCGCGTGGACAACACACGTGAGTCATCACAACACACCGTCTTCCGGGATAGGCCTGAGACGCTACGTGCTGGGACTGCGAGGTTGGTTTTATCGCTTAGTGTGACTTGAGCTATTTATAGGACGTAGCGACAACGCGAGTGTTCTTTGTTCTCACCCTGGCTCCTTTGCGCGCTTAAAACTGGCACGTGTGCTATTCGATTGCGCTATAAATAACCGTATCTTTTCATACTAAAGGATAAACATTGAAACGTCGCTGGATTTGTTTCACATGCATACGTGCTCTTGAAATTTACACCGCAAAAAACGTTTCAATAAGAACATACAGTGATTTTGCGTAATTTTATCTTGTTTGCTGTTTATTTGTATGAAAACTCAAATGGAAATTTACATTTAGCGATTAAAATGTAGAGATATACATCGAGATCAGCAGTTTTGACAAGGATATATTCTTATCGTAAATGGCAGCCCTGTGACAATTGTGACAATAGTTCGATTCTCTTTATTATATAAAAAGTTTGATTTTATGTTTAAGATGTTTACGAAAATAGATATGTATTATTTATATGGAGAATCACTTATCAGACCGCAGACTAGTTTATTATAACGCATATCCACAGCAGCAGCAGCAGCAGCAGCAGCAGCAGCAGCAGTAGTAGTAGTTTTGTTTTTTGTTTTAAACATATTTTATTCATGAGAAAAGGATTGGGTACAAGTTATACAACTTAGAACACCCTCTCCGTAGTATTTACATAGTATTATTTACATTCATTCTACAAGATGGACAGAGAAGAACAGAGCAGAAATATGGGAAAAAGAGGAACAATTGCAACATTTAAGAAAATAGTAGTAGTAGTAGTAGTAGTAGTAGTAGTAGTAGTAGTAGTAGTAGTAGTAGTAGTAGTAGTAGTTGTTGTTGTTGTAGCAGAAATAGAAATAGTAGTAAAAGTGATACTGTACAGACGACTGTCTGTAAATAATCGAGTCTGGACCAGACCATCCAGTGATCAACAGCATGAGCATCGATCTACGATGACATGTGTCAACCAAGTCAGCGAGTCTGACCACCCGACCCGTACTTAAGAATATTGCGCTCATAGGACGACATGCATGCATGTGTATGTGTGGCTGCTTGTACTAGCCCAAACCTAAGCTGGTTTTATAGTGCTTGCTCACTGAGATACCATGCCGCAGTTAAGCGTGAATACCCCGCTCAGACACATTATACTGACTCCGAGCCGACCAGTCCTTGTTGTACCCATTAATGCCGAGCGCCAGACAGGGACCAACAAGTACCATATTTTAACGTCTTTTGGTATGACGCTGTCGGGGATCGAACCCGCGACCTTCCGCTCTCCGTGCGGACGCTCTAACCACTACACCACGGAGGCGGTCTAAGCATGGATAAACACCTTGAAACTGGAGTAAGTTTAGAGGGGAACAAACATTATGGATTGACAACTTCTTTATTGCAACAGATGCGACGTTTCGGTGTAGATGCTAACACCGTTATCAAGCAAGTGATGTTTGTTTGTGAAGCGCACTAATAATCTAGTGATCGATATCATGAGTATCTACGCAAACAGAATACACTGACAAGCAGCAACCAAGTAAGCGAACCATGCCACCCAATATCGTCGGTCACCGTTAAAGACAAGCATAGGTTACCGAAGGCCAATTCAAAGGCGAAAAGCGAAAGCTGAGAAGGGTGAGGTGAGGTGAAATTGGGTTTAACGTCGTGCTTGGGAATATTTCGCTCATATGACGAATGTATGTGTATGTGCGGATGCTTGTACTAGCCCAGACTTAAGCTGGTTTTATAGTGCTAGCCCAATGAGATACCATGCCGCAGTGAAGCATGAATACCCCACTCAGACACATTATACTGACTCCGAGCCGACCAGTCCTTGTTGTACCCATTAATGCCGAGCGCCAGACAGGGACCAACAAGTACCATATTTTAACGTCTTTTGGTATGACGCGGTCGGGGATCGAACCCGCGACCTTCCGCTCTCCGGGTGGACGCTCTAACCACTACACCACGGAGGCGGTTCTGAGAAGGGTATTCGAATGGAATATGATTCCTTGTTGTAATTAATACATGAACCTAGGTCAGACCCAAACGGCCTCCAAAAGCATAGTTGTATGAATACAATGTACAATATTCACCCGTGGACCTTATGTTTGCAGTGTTTTGTTAACTGTTTTCGGGTTGGTAATATTTACGAAAACGTTTTTGATTTACATGCATGGACTTTATCTAGCACTTGGTATGAACTCCTTGTAAAACTCCATTTTAACAAAAGGACATTATCCAGCAATATCACGGCGGGGGACACCACAAATGGACTTCACGCATTGTATCGACTGACTGACTTAGCTTAGCTTTACGCCGCTTTTAGCAATATTCCAGCAATATCACGGCGGGGGACACTAGAAATGGACTTCACACATTGTACCAATACGGGGAATCGAACCCGGGTCTTCAGTGTGACGAGCGAACGCTTTAACCAATTGGCTGCCCCACCTCCCCTGCATTGTATCGAACCCGGGTCTTCAGCGTGACGAGCGAACACTTGAACCACATGGCAGCCCAACCGTCCCAAAAGGAGTGGTTGAGTGAGTTTAGTTTTACGCCGCTTTTAGCAATATTCCAGCAATATCACGGCGGGGGACACTAGAAATGGGCTTCACACAATGTACCAATACGGGGAATCGAACCCGGGTCTTCAGTGTGACGAGCTAACGCTTTAACCAATTGGCTGCCCGACCGGCCTCAGGAGGAGAGGAAGGAGGAGAGGAAAGTTAATTGTTCCAAATTTTATTTAAGATATGTTCTCTGAGGTGTACAGGAGACCTTCTTGGCGTTCATCCTTGTGGGGGCGGTGACGGTGGCGGTGGTGGCGGTGGTGGTGGCGGGGGTCCTCCAAGGTTGCCAAAGACAAAGAAAACGCCCGCACCTGAAAAACATTTACGTGAAAATATTCGTCATTTTTCCTGCCACTTTCAGTCATACTCCTGTCGCTGCAGTGTGCTAGTAAACACAGGCGGTATGGTTATCTTTTGACTCGAAACAGTTTAGTTCCTCTTTTACCTATACTGTCACCTTTGGACTTATTTAGATTGATTTAAAACTTGAAACCATAACTGTATACACCATATTTCTGATGTCACATATGTTCGTTTATCACATTTGGCCTAACATCCACAAAAACAATGTGACACAGTCATAAACAAACAGTACCCCCTGAAGACGAGGTTTCCGGAGTAACGGGGTGTCTATATTAACGAGAGTGGAGATATGAGCTTCATGTGGAAACTATGGAATCCGAGAAGGGACATTGTCGCGTTGTCGCATTGTCGCGTGTCGCGTTTTAGATAATTTTTTCGGCTGCTTTTACACATCTTACATGGTGCGACAATGCGACATATTTTGACCTTGAAAATTGTCGGTATGTCGCGTGTCGCCCTTTGGAGGAATAAAAAATTTCTTATTCAAAACGCGACATGCGACATCGCGACATTGAGACAAATGGACGAAATGTCGCGTTGTCGCATTGTCGCGTTTTGGTTAATTTTGCCTCATTTTGCTTGTGTTTGAAAAGGGCGACAACGCGACAATGCGACAACGCGACAATGTCCCTTCCAGGATTCCATAGGAAACAGTTGTGAGCTTCACATAGGAACACCTGACTTGAAAACATTTATGTGTTTACATGTTGTATTTTTCATCGTAATCCCTTCCGCATGGACACACTTTCGTCTAGGATGCTGGATGGATTGTATTCCAGTGTTGTTGAAGTATTTCTCTTGTCAGTCCTAAAATGTATCCAGAGTTACCATGGCATCAACTTTGGCATCGGTTCCAGTTGGAGCATGCTTCATGTTTGGCAACAAATGGAAATCGCGAGATCCAGTCTGAGATCATTAGAATTCAGTGGATGCTAAGGGTGTTAAAAGTTTCTTACGTGAATAATATCCACCGCAACACCTTACGTTGTGCGCTGGGACATTGTCCTAGAAGAATATTACACCTTTTCCTAGTTCCCCGTGACTCTATCTCTTATTTTCATGCTGGAATTACTCCAAAAGTGCAGCATAACAGGCCCCGTTTATTGACTGGTCTTAAGGAAGACAATTCACCATGGTAACACTTTCGGCATCCCGGAACTCAGAGGCCTTAACCTTTCACGCCAGAAAGGGTGTGAGGAGGTATGATTGTAAACCGCTTTTTGTAATATTCCAGCAATATCAGGCGGGAAATGGGCCTCGGACATTGTACTCATGTGGAGAATCGAACTCGGGTCTTCAGCATGAAGGCGGACGTTTCAACCACCAAACTACTCCAACGCCCCATCTCATCACAGTGGAATTGAAATGTGAGGTGAGGTAAAATTGGATTTAACGTCGTGCTTGATAATATTTCGCTCATATGACGACGTGCATGCGCGTGTGTGTGTATGTGCGGCTGCTTGTACTAGCCCAGACTGGTTTTATAGTGCTAGCCCACTGAGATACCATGCCGCAGTGAAGCATGAATACCCCACTCAGACACATTATACTGACTCCAAGCCGACCAGTCCTTGTTGCACCCATTAATGCCGAGCGCCAGGCAGGGACCAACAAGTACCATATTTTAACGTCTTTTGGTATGACGCGGTCGGGGATCGAACCCGCGACCTTCCGCTCTCCGGGCGGACGCTCTAACCACTACACCACGGAGGCGGTCGTGGAATTGAAAGAGGACTCTAACTATTCAAAGTGGCTGGTATCACAGCGATATCAAACGGGCTGTGTTTCACAACAAACATCGCTACCACAATGCTACCTCTGGCTGCATGTAACTCATTGTGACTATACAACTGATACAAACAGGTACCTGCTGAATATAGCTAGCTACAGGTGGTTTAACGATGCAAAATGCAAACCCTATATGGACCAATTATACATGTGGGAAGAGATGTTTGTCCTTCAGTACCAGTACATCAAGGAAGGGGGGCGGTGGGGTAGCCTAGTGGTTAAAGCGTTGGCTCGTCACGCCGAAGCCCCGGGTTCGAATCCCCACATGGGTACAATGTGTGAAGCCCATTTCTGCTGTCCCCCGCCGTGATATTGCTGGAATATTGCTAAAAGCGGCGTAAACCCAAATTCAGTCGGTCAGTCAGTCAAGGAAGGGCAATTCGTAGCTGGAATCTTCTTCCATCCCTTTCACCATGGAAGAGGAGCCAAACAGTCAATTAAGCAACTGCCCTTCATTGATGTACTGGTACTGATGCACAACAGCAACAAGCTAAAGGACCTCAGTGTATCGCAAACCAACACACAGACCAGTACCTTCACTACGGCTCCAACCACCCACCTCTAGTCAAGAGAGGAACCATCTCCACCCCAGTACCACGAACCCACAACATCTGCTCCACCAAGCAACACCTTACCACTGAACTCCCTCACCTGAAACAAGTCTTCACACAGTACAACAACTACCCCATGCAATTGTGGACAGGATTATGAAGGTGAAACATCTAGACCGCTGACAAACCGAATCAAAGAGCATCAGACTTCGGTATTTAAGCTTGACTCTAAATCATCCCGATCAGACCACTTCCAAGACAACCCCGACCACAGCATCCAGTGGGACAGAGTCAAAACCCTAACGGCCAAAGACTTTAAAATCAGGAAACTCCAAGAAGCTATCTACATAGAAAGACCCCAACCACCAATCAACCGTGACCAAGGCTATTACATGTTTCCTGCATACTACAACCCATCAAGATCCCCATCAGTGCTACTCCCTTTGTTTTTACCACTGGCTTCACTATCGTTTTGTTTATACTGTGGACTGTCATGTGTTAACGCTTCTATCCATTTATATATCTATCTCAGGCTATGTGTTGTTAATAAATTTATGCTAAATGGCTATTGCAGTCCTATCCCCATAGTAATGTACAAACATCCCCTCGCACTTGTATATATGCCTCTCTATCCTTATTCCGTTTATCCGGGATCGGGTGGTCAAGCTCGCTTACTTGGTTGACACATGTCATCGGTTCTCCATTTTGCGCAGGTCGATGCTTATGCTGTTGATCACTAGATTGTCTGGTCCAGACTCGATTATTTACAGACCGCCGCCATATAGCTGGAATATTGCTGAGTGCGGCGTAAAACTAAACTCATTCACTATTCTGTATATCACTTGCTTGCTGACAACGGTGTTGGAACCATACTGAAATGTCGCTCACACTGTAACAAAGACGTTGTTCATCCATATATTGAAGAGGAACACATTTCATGGATAGACAACTTCTTTATTGCAATAGATACAGCTTTTCGGTGTTGATCCTAACAACGTTATCAAGCAAATGATATGTTGTTATCCTTTCCCACACTGATTTCATTTCATGGCTTTATGGATCCGAATGTTTGTCGTTACGATTCTAAATACACTCTATGAACCTCAACAGATAAGTACAAAATAGAACTCACCACACAACTCAAGGGAACCAATCCGTGTACATTTCTGGCCGTTTTTACACTCTTTTTTACATTTCCCTGAAACATATAGTTGTTATGATATCAGAAGACACGAGTAATAGACAGAGTAAATAGACAATTTCACAAACACAGAAGCATGCATACATACATACACACGCACGCACGCACGCACGCACGCCGTTACATACATTCATTTGTTTCGAGACAATAACGTCTATAACGTCCACCTTGACCATGACGTACTAAAACGCCTTGACCAGTCATCCTACGTGTTCACTGAGTAGACGGTTCCTCGTGCAGACAGTGAGTGGAAAGCGTTAGAGTTTGCCTGTCCAATTACTTTAATACTTTGGCTGTATTTAGTTATATATATTTATATGTCTAACAATATTCTTTTGGCATGTCGGTGCACATTTATCGTTAAACACAAACCGGGAAATCGATGGAATTGTACTAGTACTTCATTCTTAGATCACCGAGGCGGTCTTCTCTGATGAAGTTTACACTATGACCATTGGTATCGATCCTCCCCTACTCACTTGTATCGCATGTTGCCAAGGTGACACACAGTAGGAGAATCAACAACTTCCGGGTCATGACCCACTGAAATCACAACGCCAAGCTCTAAGCGACATGTAATGTTTCCTAGCAACACCAAATAATTCATTTATGTATCAAAACTGAAAACACGATCCTTTTGTATGCAAATGTTTTTCTGTTTAGCATAATGTCCCTAACTGCGCCTGAAAACAACATCTTCTCGAGACAAGGGAGTTAATTGATCAATTCCACTTTCCAGTGCGGCCAGTTACCTCCTCTGACTCGGGAAGATGAAAAGCAACATGTTTCATTCATTTTTGTAGAGGTAATTATGTATCCCGAAATGTAATGTTCAACGACATGTTTTAATCAGCCACAGACAAGCCTGTGTGACTGAGTGAGTGAGTTTACGCCACTCTTAGAAAGATTCCAGCAATATCACGGCGGGGACAGCAGAAATGGGCTTCACACATTGTACTCATGTGGGGAATCGAACCCGGATCATCGTCGTGACGAGCGAACAAAATAACCAGTAGGCTACCCCACCGCCCCGACAAGCCTGTGTACACACTATTGTTATAATGATAATTATGTACATAAAATGCTGAACAGTTCTCAAATGTCAGTTGAAACATCTGTTCATCAAAACCTGTAAGTATATTGTAAGAAATCAAGAAAGCTAGTGCTTGTAAAATTGTAAAATGTACGATTTTCTTGTGGTCTTTCTTTTTGTAAAAAAAAAATCAATATGTAAACCAGCGTTTGTGAAAATAAATGTGAGAGGACGGTTACAGTTTGTAATAACATTCTCATCCTAATATGAAAATCCTGATCATGTGATAAAATCGGTTTAAAATTAAATAATTAATTAAATTTCCTTTAACGTTAATATTCAATATCGTGAGAGCCAAACAAATACAGCCTTACCCCAGCAACCATTCAGTCCTGTGTGGCCCATATATTCCGCTGAACATGCAAACTACAGCCACATGGCTCTTATAATCAATTACCATTTATTGTTGCTAATCACTCCAACACCTACGCACATTGTCGGTTTTATGACGTGTTTAATGGGGAGGCTTAAGTAGCTATTAGACGACAAGCTCGTGTTGGACGTTTATCGGCAAAACAATAAAACTTTGAAGCTTCACGGAAGTTTCCGAGAGAATCCGATGTCCATATCCGATGTGACGATGCGTCATTTATGACGATGAGCATACGGAACATGTTTCGATGAGTGAGGGCAGATTGTTCAGCACTGATATCGTTCAGCTGATTGTTTCATCACAGTGAGTGATTTTATTTTTTTTAGATATTTCAGCAATATCATGGCGGGGGACACCAGAAATGGGCTTCACACATTGTACCCATGTGGGGAATCGAACCCGGGTCTTCGGTGTGACGAGCTAACGCTTTAACCCTTAGGCTACCCCACCGCCCCTCATCGGATCTTAGTGAGTGAGGACAGATGTATGTCACTTGTAACATTATCCAAATCATATTATGTCAGAAGATAAAAAGCGTGTTTAAAGCAATGACTTTTAATAAAAAAGGAAATCCAACCCGAACTTTCTGCGTAACGAGGTAATGCTGTAACCACTCGACCACCCTATCACTTCCTTATACAATCTGAAATGCGTGACAACCACAGTAGTCTTGTGTTTTCGTCAAGAAGACAGCCCGGGTTCAAATATCCATATTGTACACAGTACAATGCATTATTCTTCTAATGTCTTGTGTCATGCAAGTGTCTTTTCACATATGAACAGTGGACAGGAGAAACCTTTGCAGCAGTACTTTACTTCAAAGTAAATAATGATCACATACAAGGGTCATATCAAGTAAAACAGTCTATAATCATTTCTGCAGCATCTTCGAAATAACAACAATAGTTATCGAGTGAGTGAGTGAGTATAGTTTAACGCCGCTTTTAGCAATATTCCAGCAATATTACGACGGGGGACACCAGAAATGGGCTTCACACATTGTGCCCATATGGGGAATAGTTATCGAAGGCATGCTAACGTTTAGTACCATTTTAATTTTCCCTGATACATTCACAATGGCATTAATATGCTTCGTCAGCTGTTACACATTGTCAACTGGATACGTTCAATACGCTTGTCACATTTTCTTTCATGTAACAAGCATACACTTAATTTAATTAAGATGATTGGTCTATTTCAAGGAGACTATATCGATATTTTTGGAATGTGTCTTTTGAATTATATAATTTAGAGACTCAATTTGTATACTTGAGCTCAGTCTGTCGTAATTGTGCATTAATATAGATCGATGTGGCTTACTTGGACATCTATTTCACTACTTCGTTCAATCTACTTTAGTTTAATAAATATACAAGAAACACGTCCCCAAAATAGCAATATTTTGTACGCAATCACTATAAGCTTTAGCGTCAAAGGATGTGAGAATCAGTGCCATGAATGTCCACTTCTCTATTGTTGTTTTTTGCTTGACAATGGTGTCAGTGTGTCAGCGCCGATTACGTTTTTGTTATAAATGTATTCTCCCTTGATCTCAAAATAGATTTATTTAGGAATGGTCAATTTAGTCATAACTTCCTGTCCTCGACATGGCACGGGTTGATGGATATTATGTAATAAGCGCCTGGTCTCCAATAAGCGCCAGGTCTCCAATAAGCGCCGGGTCTCCAATATGTGCCGGGTCTCCAATAAGCGCCAGGTCTCCAATAAGCGCCTGGTCTCCAATAAGAGCCGGGTCAGGAAGTCCATTGATAAATTAAGCGCCCGGGCTCTTATTAGAGGAAATACGGTACAAACATTTTTAACATCACGAAACTGTGAAAGAACAACACAGATGGTTTTATAGTGTTAGCCCAATGAGATACCATGCCGCAGTGAAGCATGAATACCCCACTCAGACACATTATACTGACTCCGAGCCGACCAGTCCTTGTTGTACCCATTAATGCCGAGCGCCAGGCAGGGACCAACAAGTACCATATTTTAACGTCTTTTGGTATGACGCGGTCGGGGATCGAACCCGCGACCTTCCTCTCTCCGGGCGGACGCTCTAACCACTACACCACGGAGGCGGTTCTGAGAAGGGTATTCGAATGGAATATGATTCATTGTTGTAATTAATACATGAACCTAGGTCAGACCCAAACGGCCTCTAAAAGCATAGTTGTATGAATACAATGTACAATATTCACCCGTGGACCTTATGTTTGCAGTGTTTTGTTAACTGTTTTCGGGTTGGTAATATTTACGAAAACGTTTGTGATTTACATGCATGGACTTTATCTAGCAGTTGGTATGAACTCCTTGTAAAACTCCACTTTAACAAAAGGACATTATCCAGCAATATCACGGCGGGGGACACCACAAATGGACTTCACGCATTGTATCGACTGACTGACTTAGCTTAGCTTTACGCCGCTTTTAGCAATATTCCAGCAATATCACGGCGGGGGGACACTAGAAATGGACTTCACACATTGTACCAATACGGGGAATCGAACCCGGGTCTTCAGTGTGACGAGCTAACGCTTTAACCAATTGGCTGCCCGACCGGCCTCAGGAGGAGAGGAAGGAGGAGAGGTAAAGTTAATTGTTCCAAATTTTATTTAAGATATGTTCTCTGAGGTGTACAGGAGACCTTCTTGGCGTTCATCCTTGTGGGGGCGTTGGTGGCGGTGGTGGTGGTGGTGGCGGGGGTCCTCCAAGGTTGCCAAAGACGCTGACGAATAAGTCTACACCTGAAAAATATTTACGTGAAAATATTCGTCATTTTTCCTGCAACTTTCAGTCATACTCCTGTCGCTGCAGTGTGCTAGTAAACACAGGCGGTATGGTTATCTTTTGACTCGAAACAGTTTAGTTCCTCTTTTACCTATACTGTCACCTTTGGACTTATTTAGATTGATTTAAAACTTGAAACCATAACTGTATACACCATATTTCTGATGTCACATATGTTCGTTTATCACATTTGGCCTAACATCCACAAAAACAATGTGAGACAGTCATAAACAAACAGTACCCCCTGAAGACGAGGTTTCCGGGATAACGGGGTGTCTATATTAACGAGAGTGGAGAGATGAGCTTCATGTGGAAACTATGGAATCCGAGAAGGGACATTGTCGCGTTGTCGCATTGTCGCGTGTCGCGTTTTAGTAAATTTTTAGGCTGTTTTTACACATCTTACATGGTGCGACAACGCGACAAATTTTGACCTTGAAAATTATCGCTATGTCGCGTGTCGCCCTTTGGAGGAATAAAAAAAATTTATTCAAATATTATTTTTCATCATAATCCCTTCCGAATGGACACACTTTCGTCTAGGATGCTGGATGGATTGTATTCCGGTGTTGCTGAAGTATTTCTCTTGTCAGTCCCAAAATGTATCCAGAGTTACCATGGCATCAACTTTGGTATAGGATCCAGTTGGAGCATATGCTTCATGTTTGGCAGCAAATGGACATCGCGAGATCCGGTCTGAGATCATTAGAATTCATTGGATGCTAAGGGTGTTAAAAGTTTCTTACCTGAATAATATCCACCGCAACACCTTACGTTGTGCGCTGGGACATTGTCCTAGAAGAATATTACACCTTTTCCTAGTTCCCCGTGACTCTTTCTCTTTTTTTCATGCTAGAATTACTCCAAAAGTGCAGCATAACAGGCCCCGTTTATTGACTGGTCTTAAGAAAGACAATTCACCATGGTAACACTTTCGGCATCCCGGAACTCAGAGGCCTTAACCATTCACGCAGAAAGGGTGTGAGTGGGTATGATTTTAAGCCGCTTTTGGTAATATTCCAGCAATATCAGGAGGGAAAACGGGCCTCAGACATTGTTACCATGTGGAGAATCGAACTCGGGTCTTCAGCATGAAGGCGGACGTTTCAACCACCAAACTACTCCAACGCCCCATCTCATCACAGTGGAATTGAAATGTGAGGTGAGGTGAAATTGGATTTAACGTCGTGCTTGAGAATATTTCGCTCATATGACGACGTGCACGCGCGTGTGTGTGTATGTGCGGCTGCTTGTACTAGCCCAGACTGGTTTTATAGTGCTAGCCCAATGAGATACCATGTCGCAGTGAAGCATGAATACCCCACTAAGACACATTATATTGACTCCGAGCCGACCAGTCCTTGTTGTACCCATTAATGCCGAGCGCCAGGCAGGGACCAACAAGTACCATATTTTAACGTCTTTTGGTATGACGCGGTCGGGGATCGAACCCGCGACCTTCCGCTCTCCGGGCGGACGCTCCACTATACCACGGAGGCGGTCGTGGAATTGAAAGAGGACTCTAATTATTCAAAGTGGCTGGTATCACAGCGATATCAAATGGGCTGTGTTTCACAACAAACATCGCTACCACAATGCTACTTCTGGCTGCATGTAACTCATTGTGAGTATACAACTGATACAAGCAGGTACGTACTAAATATAGCTAGCTACAGGTGGTTTAATGATGCAAAATGCAAACCCTATATGGACCAATTATACATGTGGGAAGAGATGTTTGTCCTTCAGTACCAGTACATCAAGGAAGGGGGGGCGGTGGGGTAGCCTAGTGGTTAAGGCGTTGGCTCGTCACGCCGAAGACCCGGGTTCGAATCCCCGGATGGGTACAATGTGTGAAGCCCATTTCTGGTGTCCCCCGCCGTGATATTGCTGGAATATTGCTAAAAGCGGCGTAAAACCAAACTCAGTCAGTCAGTCAAGGAAGGGCAATTCGTAGCTGGAATCTTCTTCCATCCCTTTCACCATGGAAGAGGAGCCCAACAGTCAAGTAAGCAACTGCCCTTCATTGATGTACTGGTACTGATGCACACCAGCAACAAGCTAGGACCTCAGTATATCGCAAACCAACACACAGACCAGTACCTTCACTACGGCTCCAACCACCCACCTCCAGTCAAGAGAGGAACCATCTCCACCCCAGTACCATTAACCCACAACATCTGC